AATGAGCAAAATTAGAAAGATACAATCGTCTTTGCACAAAAGAGCAGCAACTTGTTCAATGGAGTGGAAAAGAAATATACATATGAATAATGGACAATTCATTTATCATCTAACTTTGGCAACAGATGACATTTGAATATTACCATGATATTAATCATCATTATTTAAAATTCAAAAACGAAATCTAATCTCAACATTGAGCAAAGGTAAATGGTAAATCTGTTTGAGTTGCCATTCTCTACTAAAGAAGTAACTGAGTGTTGCATAAGTGACGAAAACATCAAAACAGTGCTGATTAGCAACAACAGAAAAATATGTATGCGGATTACATATACAAACTATCGAAAGGTTTCATCAAATATTTCAAACAGGTTGCGAGTGCATTTGAGAACGAAAAGGACAAAATGAGTTAAGAGAAATTCGATCTATTAAACGAGAAAATGTGTTTCAAAGTATACATAAATAACACTTTAATTTGACATTTTGTTTTCAAATGTACTCAACGAAACCAATCAAGATTTAGTACCGAATATGAACGGTTCACGCTTGAGTTATGACGAGCGAAATAATTCAATGAGAAATTTAGTGTAATATGTATCGAATGATCTCTTATCAATTAACAAGTTGCACGCAATATTGATGACATAAGACTTTCTGTTTTTGCTTAAAGTGCGTGCACGCATCGCTGAAAAAAAAACAACAACGAAATATTACCATTTGACATGCCATAAGCTTCATGCAGTAAATATTTTCATATTTACTTAGCTTCTTCTATTTTAATACACTAATGAAAAGTTTGAAGAAAAATATGTAAAAAAGTACATCTGGAGTGCCCTTGATAATATTGCGAATAATAAGTTCGTGATCTCGGTGAGAGAGAGAGAATACTAGCTTGACAACGAAATGTTTGCTCAGTAGTGTATAAATAGGTTTGTTAAAAGATTGCAAACTTGAGAAAATCAAAAACAAAATTCGTTAATCGATAGATAGTCTTCCCGCGAAAAAGCGATGTGGAAACCTGCTCTTCTTCTGCTGATTGGATTAGTTAATATTCCGAATACGAGTACGTGAATTTGTGTATCCGGCAAGCTAGAATACTAAACAATTTTCTCATTTATGAACTTTCTTTATAGCTCCTTGCGTAGCCATATGGAATCAATGTGGTGGTATCAATTTTTCAGGTGAAACTACCTGCTGTGATTCGTTAACATGTACAGTACTTAATCCTTGGTATTCACAATGCTTACAAGGTGCAACAGACTCAACTACTACGACAACTACGACTACAACAACTACCACATCGAACCAAGGCAACAGTGGTAGGAAGATATTCTAATCTGATGTTCTACATAGTAGAATGAGCATCTGTCTTATATGTATAGGTTGTAATACGTTGTACAGTCAATGCAATGGTGAAAACTGGTCAAACCCAACATGTTGCATCGATTCAGTATGCACCTACTCCAATCCATACTATTCACAATGTTTACCTGGCTCATCGACTCAAAGCACCACTGCTTCCACTACTCAAAGCACAACAACTACAACCCCAACCCCTAGTACAACAACAACAACAACAACAACTACAACTCCGAGTACAACAACCACAACCCAAAGCACAACCCAAAGCACAACAAGTTCTTCTAGTACAGCGAATCGTAAGTACATCTTTGCTATTTCATAAAGAATAGACTGTTCGATTCGCCTCTAGAAAACTGCGTTCCTCAATATCAACAATGTGGTGGTATTAACTATTACGGCTCAACGACATGTTGTGATGGATCTACCTGTAATTATCTAAATGATTATTATTATCAATGTTTACCATCAGGAAATCCCACATCAAGTTCATCATCTGCTTCAAGTAGCACAGCTAGTTCATCTTCGTCATCATCATCATCGTCTTCATCGACACAATCAAATGGTGATAATGGTCAACCAGGTGTGACAACTCGTTACTGGGATTGCTGTAAAGCAAGTTGTGGATGGCCAGGCAAAGCTTCTGTTACGAATCCAGTTCAATCATGTCAAAGAGATGGTGTTACGCCAATCGATGTAAACGCAGCTTCCATTTGTAATGGTGGCGACTCATCGATGTGTAACAATCAACAACCATGGAGTGTTAATTCAACTTTCTCCTATGGTTATGCTGCTGCTCATATTGCTGTAAGTAGCAAATAGACTTACCTTTTCGATGGTAATATATCGTCTTGTTTCACTCGTATAGGGTCAAGGTGAATCGGATTGGTGTTGTGCTTGTTATTTACTAACATTTACATCAGGACCAGTTGTAGGTAAGAAAATGCTGGTTCAAGTAACCAATACTGGTGGTGATCTTGGTAACAATCATTTCGATCTTCAAATGCCCGGCGGTGGTGTTGGTATCTTCAACGGATGTTCCAGTCAATTCGGAACCGGTAATCCAGGACCGTGGGGTGCACAATATGGTGGTGTCAGCAGCATATCAGATTGTGACAATTTGCCGGCAGTTTTAAAACCCGGTTGTTATTGGCGTTTTCAATGGTTCCAAAATGCTGACAATCCAACAATGACATTCAAACGGGTTGACTGTCCACTTGATCTTACCGTCAATACCCAATGCCAACGATTATAAACAAACATACGAAGAATTTTCATTGACAGATTCTATTTAGAAAAACATAGTTTTACTAGGCAGTGTCCATAAATACCATAGGATTTTTTAAAATAATAATTCGGCTTTATTAAATAAATCAGTGAATTAGTAAGAAGAATCTTGACTTTTTAAAGATACTTGAAATATCATCTAACGTTGGTCTCTTATGGTTGAAAAAAAAACAAGTTCGATTATCTTTCATTGTCAGTCACATTTTTTTTATTCAAAAGGAAGGAAAAAATAATATTTATATTTAATATAATTATATGAAGTTCTCTTAGCTCTTCTCAAAATATACTGCACGATTGGGGATTGTCGTTTTTCGTTGATTTATTGTCTTTTATCAAATTGCTTAGAATCATTCGTCTTTTCGCGAATTTCTTGAAATTCAACTTATTTTCATGTTCAGTTTTGATCACCAGTTCATTGATATCGTCTTCTATTACTGTTAAATCTTGTTTAAATGCATCCTTCAATTCATTATCATCCGTAATATTATCAATCATTTCCATGATATCAAAATCTTGAAGCAGATTGGGCTGAGTTGGAAAGTATTTCGATCGGAAGTGTTGGCTCATTTGACTTTTCATTATTTGAATTTCTCCCGTCACCGGTAGGCCCAATCGAATCAAGGTTTTTATTGCCGGTATACTACGATGTTCGAGTCCAATGAATAGAAGGGGGATGTATCGGTAGCCTTGTACGTAATCATTCGATTGGGAGGTCGGTCTGAGATCTTTTAGATGGTAGCCCATTTTCGTTATATCATAATGAAGTAATTTAATATCATCGGTGGAGTTCGTTTCGGTTGCTTTTTTCAGATTGGAATAGAAAACGATTTTCAAGAAATTGCTTAATGCTACGGATTGCCGTTGGATTTCATCTTTGGCAAAATCTTCGATTTGAAATTGTTTCAAGAAATAGTCACGATTAAGAAGATAATCCTTTGGAGAGAAATCCCAACAATCAACTACCTAGAACAACACGAAAGAAATACGAGTGTTATTGTAGAAGTTTAATCTCATACCGGGATTGCTTTGGCTTGTTCAAGCATCTCCACAGATTTCGTATCATTCATCAAACAGGCGTAATGATAAGATGTGCGATTCATATTGTCCTTTATATTGATTATATTCGGATATTTCTCAGTAAAAAATCTAAACAAAGAATTCGAGTTTTAAGGACAAATGAGTATGTAAACATGTTTGATGTTTCTGTAGAAATATTTCTATTGTTAGAATGTTGGGAGGATACACTTAATAGTTATTTATGGAAAATGAGCGGAAAACCAAATGATCTACGTACTTTAAAATATCATAGCGTTGATGAAGAACAGCTAAGTGTGCTCCGGTTCGTCCGAATGAATCTTTCGCCTGATGAATACATTTCTTCAGGCTTAAAATATATGCTACTCGAGTTAAATCATTCATAACCACTGCATGCAAAAAACTTGTTATCCAAACAGTAAAACCACGATTGGATTTTAAATTCCGTAGTAGTCGGTAAACATATTTCGTCATTAGTAACGTTTTATTTCGACAGTAAATAACCAGATCATAACCGAAGGAGTTCAAAATCAGCTGTTCGATAATCAAATCTGATTTTAAATGTAAAACGAGAAGATGTTTAACTGCTTCGTAGAATGGTTGTAGTTTCTTATACGTGTTCATCGATGTGCTTAATTCGATCACTTCGACAATGCTTCGTTCTTCTTCATTTCGTTGCGCAATTAATAATGGATTGTTAATAATAATTGCTTTGAAAAGAGTAATATACTCCGGATTGACTTCTGAGGTGTATAAACGCATCAGGTGAAAGAGAAAGGTTTCGCCTTTGGATGATTTTGTTAACATATTGGAATTTAAAAGAATGTTACTGCGAATTTCTTTGGAAATGAATGGTTGGAAACAGTGGAAGAAGAAGGGCAAACCATCTGTACATAAAATGTTGACATCGATTTTGATCGCCGGCGATTGAAAGAGAATTTCGAATGGTTTTGAACATTGACTTTCAAGACAATAGTCTAGTAATGATTTGGAATATCGATGATGTGAAGTAAATCGATGAATTGAGTCACGTGCGTTGAATTTTAAGAAATTATTTTCATGTTCGTAGATAATACTTGCTCGATCCCAATCGAATGCAAGGATGGAGTGGACAAATTCAGTTGTTACTTGATAATCAGCAAGAATATCGATGATAGGAGGAGAATTCAAATCGCGAGCTTTATCCAATAGTGTCTTGTTTGAATTGTGTTTACAATCGATTTTGAGAAAGCCTAAAATAGTTCATGGTATTGCTATTAGAATCGAATGTTTTCTATTTAGCTTTACCGTTCATTAATCGTGCAGTTTCTTCAATATTAACCGTTTCGATGGCATGCCAGATACCTTCCCCATAGACTTTGCAGAAAGCTTTGAGTTGATTATTCCGAATATACGCACTGGCTGATTTACCATCGTAGTTATTAAGACGTGGATCAACACCAATTCGAAATAGTGCCTGAATACGCACGTAACGAGACTTTTGCATGACATCATCCTTTTCAAAAAGAAAGTTCTGTACCTGGATTAAGTGGAAACTGTGATGAGCAGCTCCTTGTTTGAAAACTTTATGTAGTGGTGTGTTTCCTTCTCCGTCGGGCACATTGGGGTCAGCACCAGCATTGGCTAATGCGTAAATCAATCTGGAGGCGATGCTACAAGTACAAAGAGAACGGCCATGAATGCGTTGATTGGAGATCGACAAAAGAGATCTTTACTCTTCTTGTTGATGGAAATTTTGGCAAACGACGTGAAGATAAGATCCATCTTTGGGATGTTTCATCTCGACCAAATCAGGTTGTTGGTGAAGCAATGTGTTGACTTGCTGTAGTAACTCATCCGGATTCAATGGATGTGTCGAAAGCAACTTGTACAACTGATTGCTACGAAATCGATCAACTTTGGGTGCCATTTGTTTTATTCTACTACTACTCTTGATCTGGCAATACTTTCAATCTGAACAAACTTATGCCGATGATGAATAACAAACGGAAAAGGAGAAGTTTCTCAATTATTCATAATCAAATATTTGATATATATATATATACACTTTGTTAGGAGAAAACCTAATGTTGCTTGATGCTCGTTGAAAACGTCTTTCTCTTGCCTAATTTTCCTAGAAAATTTGACGATATGAAAGAAAATATTTGCACTCTTATTATTTATTCAATTCAATAGCTTTTTTTTTGCAAAGTACATGAGTGAAAATACTTGTGCCACACTGATTGATTTAATCAGTTTCACCGATGAGAAAACAAAGTGCGTTGCCGTCCTCTTCAATATACATTAATTTTAAAACAGAAACTCGAGAATATAGAAGGGTCGTTTTAAAGAAAAAAAAGTCCTAAAATAATCATATTATGTTCCAAGAAGAAAACACAACAGCCTCAGAGTACCCTTTTCCGACGTATTCTTCTCTTAACTCGATATCTAAATTTGTTGTTTCTCTTAGAAGTGAAAAAAAAGACGAATATACATTTAGGAAATTGACAAGCGGGATCGATTGCTAATCAGCCAATACCCGGAATGATAGTAACACGTACACGATGTTCACAATATTCTTCGATTACAAATGTATCAATAGAGATTTTTTGCACGCCTAAATCTCCAAAGACAACAATGCTAGTCAGATATAAACTTCCATATCGATGTAGGAGTAGCTTCATCTACTGACATGCCAACAAGCTGAGGGCATATTCTTTTGTTACTCTGCATGAATAGCCTATGATGAAAACTGTTCACTGGCTTTTATTCTTCAACTGTAATAGCAATCAAAACATGTTTTTGAAAAAAAAGGGACGAATGAATCGACCGTTGATGTATCACAACGAACAGGAATTCACTTTCACAAACATGAATCATTAGATAGAACTACAGCAGTGACTTTCAAGCTTTGATAAAGTTTATTTTGACGAACATATCTACGTCAATGATAGTAAATCGATTATCATACATGCATATAAAAGAACTAAAGAATTCAAAGAAAATAGTTTAAAAATATATTTAATTAAAACGTTGGAAAAACTAAATTCTCTAGATATCATTTGTTGTTACACAATAATAATGCCATCCACCTTCCCATTGGACTTTCGTACATCTCATACAACGAAACAGTGGACTTAAACATTGTACTGTCTTGATATTTTCAACATATGTTTGTCTAAACGAACAAGTAAATCTTTTCATTGTCGGTACTCGCGTATGCAGTTCAATCGCCAATCGTTTTAAATCGTTCATAGTCAAACTATCACATGTAACATGAAGATGCTTCAAGCAAGACAAATGAGACAAAATCGGATACAAATCGTCCAGTTTATCCCATGTATTCATCGTTACATCTAGATGAACTAAACTTGTATGCTGATATTGTCGAACAGAAGGTAAAATTTTCGATAGACCGTCATCGGGCATCCAGCGCACGACAGTTAGTTTTAAACGACGTAATAACGTTTGTACAGAGAGAATTATATTTATGTTACAAGGATGTACTCGATCGAAAATCATTGTATGAACATAGGATAGCGGTTGATAGTGACGTAGGAAATAACTTGGCATCGTCGGTATGTGATAGACTTTTAACCATGTCATCGATTGATTTTCAGAAGAATGTTGCGTGAAGATGATGCTATTTAATGGCTCGCGGTCGATCCACCATTCGGAAAAGGTCAGACGTTTGAGATGAGGTAAAGCTGATGGATGAATAGCATGGAGTTGATCACTGGTTAGTTTAGTGTCGATAATTAAGGAGCGTAGATTTGAAAAACATCGTAAGTCAAGATTATCGAAACAATTTCGAACGTGTAGTCGAATGATTTGCGAAGAAAAATAGTTCAATGTGTGAATTGTTCTTTCAGTATTATCATTTAGCTCGAAACTGATTTTTACCGAACGAATGATTGCACTTAGACGACGGTTAAGTCCATACCACGTATAATATAACTCAATGGAAGGAATGTATGAAAATAAATCCAGAATTAGTTCATCGGGTAAGATCTCTAAACGAGACGGCTTACTATTCATCTAAAATTAAATGAAAACCATCATGAGTAGATCAATTCTTCTCGTCTATAGTCTTATGAGAGAGATTATAAATCGTACAGTTCATTTCATACGTACTGTAGTACAAGTACGAATGAAACTGACGGTATTCGTGTGGAAAGCATGCACTGATTAACTCAATGGAATATTGGAAGTTATAAATTATCGTATTTAAAGAATATCTATTGTTTGTCAAGCAGTTGTACCAAGGAGAACAATAATTTTCGTTTAAAATATGTAAAAGTTCGGTAATAGGATGCCCGATGAGTCAGATGAAGTACAAACTTTGAAAGTATGACAATTTTCTGATTCGCCGGAGGTTAAAAGTCGATGAGTCAGCAAAATACCTTTTCCATTGTTTGTCTTAAGGTTACGAAAGAGAATACATCTGGAAAGATGAAGAAAAAGAACTAGTTTTGTTTTATTCACAAACATAACAAAGGAGAATCTTATAGAGAGAAATATTTCATCTAAAATATCAATGATATGCACAGATTTCGTTTACGATCGATTACCAACAATAGTCATCAATAATCTGCATTTCGTGTCTGACAATTGAATCGAATAAAAACTCCGGTTTACAGTAAGAGATCGTTGTCGATAGCTCGAAATCGTTGTCATCGCGTTGCTTAACGTTTAGCACCTCGCCTTTTGAATTGCAAAGAACAATCAAGTGTTGACATGGACTATGATCATGAAACAACGTCGCACCAGATAATTCCACGATTTCGATTAGTTCATTTCGTGTCATTTTCAGAGACTTTATACCTGAATGACATTCAACAGAGATAATGCATGACGATGGAAAAACAGGTAGATTATCAAAACGACATTGCTTTATACCACGCGTGTTCGCCGGCGAACGTTTATCACGCAGAATTTCGTATGGAAAATGATCGAGAATTTTCGATTGTTCAAGTGAAGATGCAATCCATTGTATTGAACTGACGAATATATGGCGCACACAGGCTTGAACGATCTGTTTGGATAATACAGTCGTAGATGAACCACAATCATTGGTTATTATGTGAGTTGTAGTATCATCGATATACTCGGGTTGGGATTCACATGTGAGTTGAATCGGGTTGGAAGCAGTATGAAATTTTGTAATGAATTGGTTGATTTGAGCCTAGAAGATATTGACGAGATTGAATATCCTGAAAAATCAATCTTTCGTCTGCTTACAATCTGTTTCTTATTCAACGATGATGTAACAGATATCACCATTCCTAATGATTCACTGATATTGTCATTTTCATCTTTTTCGATCTTTTGTATCTACAACACATAATTCAAAACCATCAAAAAGATGCTAAAGTACAATTCCTACCTGGATCTCATTAACCAACTCTAAAGAATTCTTTTGTTTCGTGTTTCTTCCCTTTTTACGCAGTCGTTTTGTTTTCTTAACCATCTCCCGTGATTCTAATTGATTATAATGACACTTACAAAAGTTCCCAGATGCTTGCCAAACTTCTTTCGGACACTTCAAACAAAGACGAGTCCAACATTTCGTCGCTTGTGTGTATTGTTCCCAATATCCATCATAGTTTGCAATTGATTCATCTGGCACAAAATGTATACGAAAAAAAGGTTCATCTTCATCATCATCGTCATCATTAATTGTCATCATGATTGATATCTAAAACGAATCCGATTGGAAGAAAAATTCATCATCTAAACAACATCACCGAAACAAATTTTTCTCTCTTCCAACAAGTCATTCAGATAAAAAGCATAGATAAGAATATATTGCTTCCTTTATCAGATAGATCTCTCACGAATGAATATCCATAGTGTAGATCTAAATTAATAATCACACATGTTGCTTAAGGGATAGAAGAAAGAAATTTTACCGGCTATATAATAAACAAGATTATGGGTTATGTAGAAGGTTATCTAACAATAGATTAATGAATTGAACGGAAATTTGGTGAAGTATGTGAGGTTACATTGGAAGGAAAAGACTGACCGTGCTGATAGGTGTTGGTGAAAAGAAAAGTCTCAAATTAATTTCTAAATAGCGCTCATTTGTGGAGAATACGGTAAAAAAAGAAAAGGAAATATACTTCTATATCATATATGGCACACACAAACATGTTCATTTCATAATTAAATAATGAGAATCTGTCGCTTCCATCTTCGCTCGAAAGTACTTTTATATAGAATGTCGGATGAATGGGAACTTTTGACTGTAGATTATACTATTTGAGTGACAGGTGGATGTTTTTCAATTATACAAATAAGCATTTTGTATCAATGAGAAAATGGCGGACAAGTTTATTTTTGTGCGCAGCTGGCAATCAGGGAACAATTGCTTTTGATGATGAATAGCCTGTCATATACAAGTGGTTGGATGTTACCGACATTTAAATTTGTCGATGAACAATTTTCAGTCGTCAACAAAGTTCTACACAAAAAGTTTTGAGTGTTCAATTCTAACAGATTATACAACGGGACACTGGGCTGATAATGTTTTCATCAGAAAAAACGCCTTCGCTGTCTGAGAAACTATCTTCATTTCCATGCCATTACACAATCATCGAGCAGAAAGACTAGAAATGGTTTTATCAATTCAAAGACTCAGTACTTTTGATGCTACATGCAGAAACCTGTGAAAGACGATCTTGCCAAGTACCTACATACTTATTTCACGGTAACACAATGTGAGAAGGAATCTCACAGTAAACAGAAGATTTGCGATGTTTTAGTTGATCTGAAATGTCTCTTTAGAGTAGGCTGGTTTGCCCATATGTGATCAGAGAGAAGACTTTGAAATCATATTCTAAAAAAGAAAGAAAAAGATCACAAATGATTTATTTGTATACACACATAAACACTTCACAACAGAGTTTATATTTTATGTTTTACTTTTCTCACATCCAAACGAAACACACACGAATGAAAGATAGAAAGAGAGAAAACGAATACGCGAGAGCAAAACCGACAAGACAACAATTAGTAAATAAGAAGAAGGAGAAGATGTTGTTAGACATTTTTGTTTTCTATAGAGAATATTTGTCAATATCTTGAATTTCAAATTTTATAATTGATTTCAGTAAAAAGTCACTTGTCACGTATTTGATATTCGATGCCGGTGCTTGAAGGTATTTTTCTTTGACTTTATTGAGATTTTTATCATTAGCATCACATAGAACAATTAGGACATCAACGGCTTGTTCCATCTGAAATAATTGCGCACCTGTTAGCTGAATTAATTCGATGAGTTCACTTCGATTGATCGATCCTTGACATTGGCGACATTCAATTGCAAATGCATGTGCTGTTTGTGATGTTGGATTGAATAAATATCTATTAGCTAGACTCAAATCTTGTTTCGACATACGAAGTGTCGTGTGAGAATCGCTTAGAATTTCATACGGATGCTCATCAATGAATGCATTCGCCCGCATACAATCAGCCATCCAACGGGATGAAATGATGAAGATATGCTGACGGACAGCGGCTTGGACGATCTTTTTTGTTATTGTGCAGTGTAGTTGATGTTCGCTATCGTCAACAAGTAGATGTGTTGTTGAGTTAGTCACGTTTAAATTTGTAGACAATTGAACTTGAGGAAAATGACGGATAAATGTGAGAGTTTCAGCCTAAGAAAGACGAGTTCGGATGCGAAAGAAACTCATGTTTTGTTCACATACCCATTGATCATCTAGAAGAGTTGTTGCTGCAAGAACAATCTGAATAAGGGAAGAGAAAGGCATGGAAGAGTAACAGAGAAAGACGGATGTTCTACCTCGTTTGGTGGAATTGATGACAGTTGGATAGATGAATTAAGTTTGCGTTTTCGCGTGTCTGAATGATTTTCAACATTAAATGTTGTCGGACGAGATGATGATTTTGTTCCATTCTAATATCTCAATAAGAATTTACAAAAGTATTACCTTTGCAAACTTACTTGTAGATCCATTGATTCAATCTGATTGTTCACTAAAATGAAATAATTGGTACGAGAGTTGGTTCAACATGAAAATTCTTACCTTTATTTCCATCGATACCACCATTCGTATTAGGTGTTTGAACCGTCTTTTGTTCGGCTTCTTTCGCTTGCATTTCAATCGTATGTCTAAATTTTCAAATTAGAGGAGAAAGCAATCGTCATTTCATTACCGTCGACAATACAGTTCACTTTGTCGCGGTACACGACTATGACACGTCGGAATCGAACAAAGGAAACGTAGTTTTCCTGAAGCATCTCGGAATGATCGAGTTGTCCCAGTGCGCTGTGACGGATTTGATTTTAACTAAAGAGAAAAACGAGTGCGAAGATGAGAGAAAACTTTATTTACTCTTTTCGTTGGCTGATGTTCAGTTGTTGTATTGCTCTTGGTTCCATTTTCTGATGACAGTGGTGTTACTGTGGTTGTTGATGTTTGAAACGGCGAACGGTAACGATTCTTTTTCGAAGAATTGGTGTCAACTGGTGGTGACTGTCGTTTTGCAATTCGACTCGTCTTTTCATGATCATCTTCCGGCTTCTTCGAAGGTAAATGTCTTGAGTGCAAATATAAGAAATTTCATGGGAAAGAAGAGTTAAAATGGCTTACAAACGACAGAACATATCTGATTGTCGTCGGAGTATGTTTGAACATGAATCATGAGTGCAAAGATATCGACGACGACCAGAACTATCACGAAATGAACGTATACCTGTTGCTTCATCCACTTGAACTTGACGGTTTGTCTACGAAAAAACGTTGATAGAAATTTTATTAGGAATGATAAATTAACAGACTTGGGAAGTCGGTGATAATGGTATTGAGTTGTCAGTTGAAATAGTCACATCATTGATTTCTCCAGCATCATCTTTGTTTATAGAATCTAAAATGAGAACAATTCATACAAGTTGAGCATCAGCACATGACAATCAATATGCCATTACTGTTATTCTCATTTTCTTCGAGATGTTCGCCAGAATTGGATTCTGATCTGATACTCTGTCTTGTCTACAATCATATTTACGAATAAACAAAATGACTGATATGTTCACACTGACTTTTGTTGATGCTTCTTCTTCGATGATTTCTCCATCGTTTTGAATATCATTTTCATCAACTAAAAGCACATTATCTTATCAATATCATCAGACAATGTTTTGTTATATACTTTGATCGGACTTCGTTGAAATATCGCCAGTATCTTCACTTTCTGCTTCGTGTTGGTGATCGTTTTCATGTGAAGGGTTTTGTGAATGACTAAACGAACAAAACCTTGCTTTCCATCCTAATGAATATTTATAACAAGGGCAACTTACGCTTTACAATACAGATCTGCTTCACGAGAGACACGTGATTTACACGACGGATTTGAGCAAACGTAATATCGACGACCACTTGGCCGATTAGCAGAACGAACGAGAAAATACCGGCGACCAGTAGTTTTCGAAGTAATGATTGTTCGTTTTGTGCCAGGAGTCATCTAAAAATAATCGAAAAAAAAACACAAAATATGTGCGAATAATCATATTGATACTCGAAACTCTCATCTCTCTCGAATTTGTATTGTTTGTTTTCAATATTTACATCCTAAGAAGTAATTTCATTGATTTTTCAATCTAAACTGACGTGAACATTAGTTTAGCATACAAAAACAAACAATGTTTTGTCATCGTACATCCGTTGTTTAATGTCACACTTTCGACTTCGTGAAAATAACAAAAACACATGCACACAAACAAAAAAAGATGAAATACAAATAACAACAAGACTAATAACAACAGCAAGTAAATGCAAGTATACAAACAGATCTAGCTTATTTTTCAAGTTTTGCTCGAAACTCTCTTCAGAAAAACCAACGCACACATACATAGATATCGGATATTCTTGATCGTTGTCATCATGATTTTAAAAAGAAAAACGAAGAAAAAAAAGGAACAAACCAGTGACGTTTGCATATGTAAAAGCAAAAGAACGGGTAAAGTAGATCATAATAATAGTAAACTGAAAAGGCTTGGGAAAAAGTAGTTTAGAATTGAAATTGTAGATTAGTTTCAGGTACAGTTTGATTAGTACTATTATTACCAAACGGAAATTCTTCAATACCAGGCACTTGACTCATCGAACATATATCATCATCCTAAAATAGCGAAGAATTTTGTGAATTTCAAATAAATAGTTAGTTAACCCGACATACATTATCTGCTGAAAAGTATTTCTCGATGATATCGTAAGATTGTTGATAGATTTCTCTATTTGCATGGGTTTGAAGATTTTCGATTTTATCAAGTCCTAGACTAAAACGGTGAGGAGATCATAGAAACAATTGCAATGCATTTACCTCCGCATTCTTCTATTTCGGTAACCACAGCTTCGAGATTCTCTGCTGAAGTTTGTTTAAGAATATTATGAATTGCATCGAGACAAACTTGTAAAATCTGAGCATCATGTTGCTGTAAGAGATTACTAAGAAGAAGAAAAAAACCATATGTTTGGATCGCGAACAAAAATTTGAATATGCAAATACCATAGAGGTGGAACTACATGTTGTTGGACAACATATTGAATCTGTTGTGTAGAGCCACTCATCGTTAGATTTGATATACACCAAGCTGCTTCTTTCTGTGTCTGAATTTCACTCTATACAACAAAAAGAATCGTTCGGTTCGAGTATCATTTCAGGATGTTACATGTTGTAAATGATGAATAACATCGGGTATAAGTTGAGCATCAATCACTGCTTGAACTTGTTGTTGATTGCCAGCTGTGATATTCGATAGAAACCAGACAGCTTCCTAGAAACAAATTTTTCCTCATTATTCTCAAAATTTGTATCCTTCACGACTAACAACACAATGTTCTTTTCATCAACATATCCAGTTGTCGATTGTCATTGAGTCAACAATCATAACAAAAGGTATGACGTCATTAGCTAATATGACATATCGACTAGTTCTTATTATTGTATCCCTGAACTTTCTCACGATGTAAACAATGTATCTCTTTGAGGATTTCATCAGTAGACATACTTTGTTGAGTTTATCTTTTTGGTGTTTGAGTAACTTCGGAAAATAATTTAACGCTCCCTGGTTAATTACAAGTTGTGTCTGTTCATCTGTACCAGTCACGATATTTCCGACAGCTCGCAGAGCTAAATAAATTGATTAGAAAAAAAAAAGTATCATTCTTAAGTTTTTTCGTTGTGTGTTACCAGCAGTCACGATTTTGATTTCGCTATGATTTAATAATTTCACGATCTGAGGTATCAAACTTGTTTCAACCACCAACTAAAATCAACAGACAGAAGTACACACAGATTGAGTTCAAGCAATTTACTTGAATTATATTATTCCCCGAATCTAAAAGATACGCTAATGCCCATGTACAATCCACCAGGATCTAAATAAATCATGAATCAATCCGAAAGGAAAAAGTATGTTTTCCATCGCATACAGTAACATCCACAAATGAGAGAAGATATTTTAATGCAGGCAAAATATCTTGAACAGAATTGATTGGTAATGGTGGTTCCTTATGACGACATAGATTAACGATAACCCATGTAACATTTCGAAGAAATGTAACAGGAATATCTTTTTGAATGAATTCTATCAACGGTGGAATCACACCTAATTCAATTGCATAGTCACGTAATCTTGGACCATCACCTTTAAAAAAAAACAGCTCTTTTTCAAAAACCAAACATCATATTCTAATTCGATCTTTACCAATGAGATTTCCCAAAGCCCAAACTGCTTGTTCACAAACATTCGATTGTGGTGAATGTAGTAAACGAAGGAGATATGGCAGAGCATTGGCGTCAGCAACGGCTTGTGTTTGTTGAGAATTTCCCGATGCAATATTCGTTAATGCCCATGCAGCTTCAAATTGCAATTCAGGATATTGATCGTAAGTTAAACATCGAACGAGAATTGGAAGAAAATTTAAGCGAATTAAATCGTCAATCGGTGGATTACGATCGATCGAAAGAAGTTTTCTCGCTGCACGAACACCTTCGAAACATATCGTCAGATCTGTATGTTGGGATTTGACTATAATCTCATTCAAATTCAATTGTCGACGTTGTTCGCAATCGTCATCAATATCATCGTTATCTGACAGACTATCTTCCACTATGAGATTCCGTTTAAATTGTATCTGTTCATCACGTTTATTCTGAAAGAAAGAAAACAGATGATTTTCGATCGAGCAGCACTCAATCTATACTTTTCTTAATGAAACATTGTATTGATTACGTCGACGCCGAAGCTCGTCTGTATCTTTGCCATGATGTTTATATGACTGAATTCGACTATTGGCATTTTTTGGTATCGAAGGATTCATTTCTAAAAAAATTCAATATTTATCAATTTTCTCATCATATTATTATTGATGGATGAATGATTTAACCGATACGCGCATTCGGATAGGCTCCTGACGTTTGTCCTTTATTTCCAAAATAATCCACTAGCAAGATCAGGAGAGAAAAATATCTCTCTCGAAGGAAAAAACGTGACTCATTCATCTGTAATTATACTAACTTTTTTTTCTTCTGGATCGCATATATTAAAAAAATACACAAGTCAAGGTCAAAAATCGTTCTTGCGATAGATGGCGGTAGACATCCAGCATCGGAGCGAAGGATTGTCATAGAAACAATTATTCCGCGAAATGCGTTAGGATAATCCTGACGATCGATATCTGCGAATTGTTAGAAACGAAGTATTTTTTATTAGTTTTTAGCTACATATTGGGAGATTATGATCATAGTAATATGAGTACACATATAAGCGTAAAAAACATCAATATTTTTAGTTATTCTATCCAAATCTAGAAGAAAAACAGATGATATGTGATATATTTGAACGACAAAGTACAATCATACGTCTTACGATGCACAAATAGAAAGAATCGAATGAATTGTTTTTCAGCTGTCAGATTTGAATTTCCTGCAAGTAAGAACGAAATTCCTGTAGACATGCGTCACTAGTTTGAAAAGATTGACTATGTTCGTTCTAATGAAAAAAATCTGAATGTTCAGTTCACCGCATCGAAAAAGTCAATAGCGTTGTCATTCAAACCTTTACTAATATCACCCTTGACTTATGATGCATGACTTATATCGAATATAAATACGAAAAAATCTTTTTGATAATATTTTTTTGCAATAGTTCATGAACAAATCAGCCCGCGACATTTAAAACTATAACTGCTGAGATAAGATTGATGCATCTTCGTTAAAATTAGTCAATACTGCACTTTCTTTCAATAATACAACTAATCCATTACGAAAGAATGACATGTTCAATGTAATTTTAACTCAAGATCATTCGTACTACCGATTGAATGTATTTCCTTGTCTTTAAATATCATTGATACATATACATATCATAATCACTTGGATGAACCTATGCGAGATATTAGGATGTAAGCCAATGATTTACAAGCTACTGTTTCGTAGTAGATTAAGGATATAAATGTTGACAGTAACATGGACGTAAGGATGGTGAGACTACTCCTGTGTAATGTAATACTTTGTCATATATAAATATATGCATACTTGTCAAACAAAAGAGTAGGTGTATAAGGCTTAAGAATATGTTTTTTTTCGAAAAAAAAAATCTTGTTACAATGGGTCAACAGACGAAACTCTGGTCAAGGTTATGGTGTGTGTACGATTATAATCCTATGTAAAACTGACATTCAACAATTGAATATCTTCTGGTCGAACTTCTCATGTTGATAAATTCAATTTTTATTATATAATACCAAAGGAGAAAAAGATGACGCCTAGCCAGTCATTTGTGACAGGTGCAATGATTGATGAAGACCCATATGGTCGTTATCATAAAATGCCAATTCAATTCAATGAATACAAGAATAGAAGAAGAAGAAGAAAAAAGAAGCAACGTTGAGATCAATAGAATATGAGAAGAAAGAAACTGACATTACAACCATTTCGTTCAGGGTCACTAAATGTTCTGCTTTCATGCTTAGACGATAAGAGAGCGAAATTCGTATTCATATTGAAATACTTTCTTCTTTGGTTATGATTCTATTTGGTTTTTCTTCTTCGTACTTATTTGAAGAAGAAGAAGAAGAAGATTTACTATTGAAAAATATGCGATCGAATTTATATTCTGTATTTGAAAGTTTTTTTTTTATCTACTATAGACTAGATTCGATGAAGAGAGCAACCTATTCATTTTGTTCTCTTTTCATCTCTTTCATACACACACATACACATTCTAAACACAAATAGAACGAATAAAAAAACAAGAAAAAAAGAGGGAAGAACATATATAACAAACCGTCCTGTCTCGATATGTACACATCCACCTATTCATCGTCACCTGTTCGAACATCAACATCGGAGACAAGACCAGCAACTCATCAAACTCAATCTTATCTTCGCGAATATTATCACTCTGCCACAAACAACGACTCGAAAACCATGAATGATAATAACATGTCTTTTAGACGCGGTGCCAGTGGAGCATACGGTAATTCCGCATCATCATTAACATCATTACCAATCAATACACCAATATCACCAAGAAGATACGTGGATAATTATAATAATCATACAACAAATGATACAAATAGATATCAATCAACAAATTACTCATCAAATTATCGTTCATATGGCAATGAAAACGATTCATTTCATCCGAATACAGCACGATACGATTTAAGTGGTAATGTCCGAGCATATTCGTATGATAATCTATTCAATGAACCAAATCGATCTCAAACATCAATGAACAATTCACGTTATAATCTAAATAATAATGTCTCTTATAATCGTCAGCCAAGACGTGAACATTACACAGATTATGAAGATGATGAGGATGATTTAATCGTGAAATCAACAGATCTGCCAGCATCGTATGAACAAGAGATGATCTCGTTAGTTCGAGGAGCTTTTCGTAAATATCAAATTACTAATCAACGTGAACTAGCTGGTTTTCTGAAACGAGCCGCGGATAAAACGTTCTCGCCTTGTTGGCATTGCATCGTCGGCCGACAATTCAGTTCTTATGTGACGCATGAAATGAACGGATTTATCTATTTTACAAAAGGTCCATTATCAATTTTACTCTTCAAAAGTGGTGCTTGAAAGATTTCTTTGAAACTATTGCTTATTCTACATTGTACATATTGATTATTTAGTATTTATTATTTTTCTTCATCTAATAAAACAACAAAAAAACATGACTGGAGTAGAAATTTGATCTTCGACGCTTCCAGCCCAATCACTTATATATTAGTATTTATTACTATCAAATAAGACGTGTATGTGTAAGACATCGCACTACTTTGTCGTTTTTATTTTTGAGATTCAAATAGGAGATGAAAAATAGCATGCGACCTTGCTTTTTAATATCGAAAGAGAAAACGAAACCGCAGTCGGAGTTATATACACTATTAGTTCCTTTTCGCCTAAATCAATAGAAAGGATTTTTCTTCATTTTCATCTCATACGAAGGTGGGTATGCGTGTTATTACTTTTCATAAGAATGCACATACTTAATGAGTGAAAAACGAAAAAACAATCATTATGGCAGTTATGCTTAGGAAAGACGAGCATGTATCGTGCTTGTCAACAACGATAGAATGTAATTGAAGAGTAATTTGGGAGAGAGAAATTATATCCATTCTTTATGTTGTTTATATTGCTGAATTATTGGCGTGATTGTTGTTTTGTATAGCAACGCTTTTTGTCCTTGTTTTGTATTTCGTTTTCAATCGATATCGATTAGCAAATAAATCACGGTCAAATAATTCAAGTACAGCAATCGAACAACAAACAATCTCTATCTTAAATATACATCATATCTTCAGACACCATTGTCAGATATAGTATTAATACCTGTGGACTCATGGTCACACGTTGTGTGAATGTCACAAGGTATCGAGTTCTTCTTGTACAAATAGTCTTTTCATTGAATAACCCTCATCGTTGGTTATTCCTTGTTGAGCCTTGTAGTAGAAGTTCTACCATCATTCACTAGATGATCTCGGAGGAATTGCATTAGTGTTTTTTATGAAGAACAAATCTGAAAAATTGAACTAGATGGAAGACAAAACAAATTTCTGCTGATTTCGTCGAATTGTCATCCTATGGATTTTGTTGTTGGACGCCGATATTATAGCCTGTTCGTCATTCACTTTGTTTTTCCAAAGGCTGATGATCAATCATCAGTTTTTCATTTCGTCGCTTGAGCACTAACTTTTCTTTGTTTAACACATTGAAGAAGGGATGAGGTTGACGTAGTTGTAATTAATTCGAGTTTCGATTCATTACGACTACAAACATTGCTCTAAGTTCCAGTCGAACGTAGGGTTGATTTTGAAAGAAGATTCTTGTGACGAAACGATTGATTCATTGGTGAACGTCGCTCACAATTGACGAATCGATCAATTTCAACAAATATGCTTTGAGGACTACAAAAGAAAACTATTCTTTAAAGCGCACTGAACTGTCATACACGTCTCTATTGTTAACGACACCCTCAAAATCTTATGTTCACCATTTATGTGATATTCTAAGTGCTGACGATAACGTGTTTACAATGAACGACACTTTATTCAAAGAATATGCGACTTTTCCGAAGGAAAACACAATCTGATTACACGGCCAGACTGTAATTGTTTTTTTAATCAATTATCTAAATTCCAGTTCTATCTCTTTAACAAGCAAAGAACTAAATAGCTAGTTACAAAGAAGAACATTTGAATGATAAAATGTCACAGTTTAAGGACGAATCAATTCTTTAAATTCCCAAAGCGTGAGACGATTCAATCGTTTTCAGTTCATGCAGTATGAATAATACAAACTCGAACTTCTCAGTTTTACTTAACACGACAGTTTGTCAATCAGATAAGAGAATTGAGATCCTGATAGTTCCTATGTCATCAACATTTACGGGATGAGCTTTAAGTAAAATGAAATTCATCAAAATTGCTATAGGCAATAGCATAAGATATATTAGATTAAGCGACTTGTCTCTCACCGCCATTTAAAGAGATTCTAGTATGAACTATGATAAAATAACCGGTGCTTTTATTATTCGACCGAAAAACAGTAGGATGCTGTTCAGATAGCAATATTTGTTCTTATTTAATTCCCACTTTTCAATATAATCTGACTTAATAGGGTTGCCTGCATATTGAATTACTAGGAGTCATAAGAAAGTAGTAAAGTCAAATAATCTTTGTTGCATTACTAAAAAAATAATGAAACGAGACAAATGAATTTTGCTGAAAAATTTTATAAGGCGCCGCCAGGGCACACATTAAATCCTGGCTATGCCACTAATTCAAACGACCTCGAAAACCAGTGGATCGTTGGAAACCACTACTTCGCGCCTGTTGCACACCTTGCCGGTTATGCAAAATTGCACCACGACGACTGAAATATAAATTAATTGTTTTCAAAGTAAAATTCAAGGTAAATTGTATCTACTTGATTGGTTCATCGATAAAATCAATTAGATCTGTTAGTGATAGACGATTATTCGTTGAAACAAACTTTGATAGATCTTCAAAACGTGACTTTAAGTCACTATCTTTCGTTTTGTCAACTGCCTTTTGAATATGTTGTAACTAAATCAAACGAAAATGATCAATCTCATTTCATTCCTACGCTCTTCTCCTGTCAAACTAACCACAAGTGGAAATACACGGCGACGATCATTCTCTACGGGTGGTTGATCAGCAAGTAAGTGAACAACATTGATTGCTTCTTCGATTCGTCCTAATTCAGCATAACAAATAGCCTAAACCATCGTATTCATAGAAGAGAATCTAAATTATTAGTTCTTCATACTCGAATATTCTGTATCGTAGTTAAATTCTGTACACGAATAGCACCTATTATTTCCAAAGCAAACGCTGCTTCACCCTAAGCACATTTCATGCAATGTAAACAATGGAAAATTTTGCTAATACTGTAGTTTTTGATCTACCTGCTGAATCGCCAATAGAGCAATCATTGCAGCNTAAATTCTGTACACGAATAGCACCTATTATTTCCAAAGCAAACGCTGCTTCACCCTAAGCACATTTCATGCAATGTAAACAATGGAAAATTTTGCTAATACTGTAGTTTTTGATCTACCTGCTGAATCGCCAATAGAGCAATCATTGCAGCTGTGCGTGGATTTATATCAGCATCTCGTTCCATGACTTTTGTTATTATTTCTTTTGCTTTTGTCAACGATTCTTTTGAATTCTAAATACGTAACAATGTATCATCATGTACTTTTGGATCGAACGAGCTATACTTGTCTGTATAATGCTTCAATAGTTAATAGAACAACATCGGATGGATATGTTCGACCACTGGAAGTTGAAAAGCCACGTTGGCATCCGTATTCAAAGACTTTGATTGCATCATCATAACGTTTGTCTTCAATTAGTTTATTAAGAAGAATAAGAGCAGAACCAGAATCTTGAAAGATTTGTTTTAAACTCTACGAAACAAATGTTCAGATAAATGGATTATTCAGAACGAATTTACTTCGTCCATAAATAACTGCATCGCTAAATCAGGTTTATCATGAACATATAATAAACGCATAATAGGTGAACCAAAATGAAATTCAGTAAACTTCAATTTACTAGTGTTGTATCTGAAGAACATGAGCAATTAAAGACGCTTGTGATCTCAAAGATATTTTCATACTTTCGTAGGGCTTTGATGACGGCAGCGATTTCTTGATCATTACTAGCTGCCATGATCATATTACGTAGATCTTCAGTGAAGATTTGACCATTAGAACTATTGACCGAGTCAATGAAGCGTTTTTTGAAACTATCTAAACAACATACAGAAATCATTCGAATCGAAGAACAACAAATGACTACCTAACGACGGTGCATGCCGTGAAACATATTGTTCACGAGCTAATTTGAAACTATCGATACCAATTCCTGAACTGGAGAATACTGTGCGAATCTGAACAGATAACCCCATCCGAAATGAGCCTGAAATACGAAAGAATGAGACACATCGACAGCTAAAAATAAGCTTCGTTTACGATTAACCACTGAGACTGTTCGAATGAGATGTGCCATCTAGAAGAGAGAAAAATTGGCGAGAGTTCAACTAATTTGTGTTTTTCTTTTCTGTACAGTCGAAAGACAAAGGAAAATTTAGCGATTTTTCTTTAGAACATTTATCAAAAATTTCACGTCATTTAATAATGTCCATGCTAATGGTGCGCCCATTGGTAAATACAAAGGAACATAGATAGCGAATTTTTGATCATCTGGAAAGTAGAGTAGTTTGAGTAACGAGGGATCGAAAAAGACTTGATCGGCAAGTAAACGTCCTTGTTGACAAAGATTGTGCTGTTGATTTGTTTGGCATTGTTCTAAAAGCTCGACAGAATCGTGAATTTTCTTTGCCATGACATCATCAATGACGATATTTGGAATGGAAAGAAGTAATTGAGAGAGAGTTAATAATGTCTGGCGACCATTATTGTAATTTTCAAGGGTACGTCGATAAATCCATTGATCAAGCGTGTCAATGCCCAATAATTGATTGAAATGGCTAAGAAATTGTTTGAGAACAAGATTTAAATCTTCAGGAGAATTTTGATTATTGTAAAATATCACACTACCCCATTTGGGTACGATGATGGAATTCTGCGGATTGTTTTCGACAGTTAAGGGTGATTGTTTTTCGTCAGGAACGAAGAGGATGAAAAAGATCTTCTCGCGATAGTGTTTGGTTGACCGATGAAGTAAATATTCGAGTTTATTAATAAAAAAGGGAATTTGTCGTTTTTCTAAACTGTGAATTGTTTCACTTGGCAAGACACCACGCGTATTAGAAATGACTTCTGTTGAAATTTCGAAATCAATATATTGGGAATAAGTATTGATCAAATGAGGAGCGATTGTTGAAGCAATGATGTCCTCATAATGACTTCTGTTCAAACTATACTTTTCATCGTTGTTATTAATTAAATAAAACGAAATTTCATAGGAAGATGCTGTTTGAAACGATGTTAGGTTGGTTTCGGCCGAATCTATGGATTTTGATGCGAGAGTTGATATACGTGTGTAAGGTAAAGAAGCACGATAGGTTGTTGTAGTTGAATACCATAATGGTAAGCCAACAAACAGAAAAAGTGAGGTGAAGATAAAACGATTGATGAATAAATAGAATTTTTCATCGGGAAGTTCACGTCGAAGTACAGATAGAATGGACATATTGTATCTGAAAGAAATGAGAGTCTTCTCAATTGATATCATATGAATTGAAAAGGTCGAACCATCTCTGCGCATTTTTTTCTACGGTTGATATCGTAAAAAGCGAGGCAGTGTAGGTGTGTGTAATGCATGTAAAGTTGAAAGAACAGTTCTGATTGGAAGAAATGTGTGCAGATATACATACATGAAGGCGTGTTCAATTGTAGATGTCGTTGGAAATGATATATTCGTTATGATTTTATTTCATTTGAAAACCGATGATTATCTTTATTGAAAATCTTTTTAAATAATTCTCTTTGTCGATCTACTTAATATTGGACATATCTTTGGTTACTAAGCAACGATCATATCCTTCTGATGACCGATGTCATACATTCTATTCCGTTGAATTTTTTGAACGATGGCTTCCGTAGCACCGGATAAGATCCTTGAAATCAAACAAATTATCTCCAATCATCTCTCCCAATCGGATATGAACAATGCTATTCGCGATATTCTTAATGATTATGCACAACGACATCCGAATTCAGGACCCATAAGTCGAGATGCTCTGGTACGTGAATTGAAGAACCGTGGTATTGTCGATTCTATGATGCAAAATATTCAATTTGGCGCTCAGCAACCTTCACCAAGACAACGTCAATCACTTTCACAACAGAAATCAACTGTCAATATGGTCGATACCGATCAGTTAGTATCTGTTCCATTGGAGCAAGTCAATTTCGATTCAAATCGACGTCACCTTTATCTACAATTTCTCAATGGGAAGGCATTTACTGGTGAATTTTCATTGAAGAACGTTTCTTTTGTTGACCAAATAAATCCGTTTAGATTATCTAAATGAGCCACAATCCGAAGGATATCCAGGCTATTCATCATCATCACTAGCTTCGTCGTTTAGTATTTCCATCTTATTTCGTAATCAACGCTTTCGCACGAGACCATTTGCGTGTGCTGGCGAACCATATATCAATCAAGGATTTTTACTTGAACTCCACAAAGATAAACAGCAAGGTAAGACGTTTCACTTCCTCAACTAATGGAATGCCAATAATTCAATGTTTTTAATTAGGCGAATTCGGTGCTATGGCCGACACTCAAACACTTCTCTCTATTTGTGATCGTGTTCACATTGTTCTAACAAGAAAAGATACACTAGGTGAAATTCATCTCGTCTCTTCACATTTTCTCGAATGGCGACAAGTTCTCTGTGCTCCAGTAAATAAAACAAATCGAACTCTAGAACTGAATGGCATTGGTAAGATTGGCACATTGAAAAAAAAAGTTTCTTATCGCATTTCTGTTGTCTCTAGGTGCAGAAAACAAATTACCTGTCGGTTTGATTAATGTTTGTCTACAATTAATTCCACCTTTACAAGAATCAGTAGCGGATGATATTCTCGCAGCACAATTAGATCTGGAACATACGAAAAGTACTGAACGTGAACGCTTATTTCTAATCTATGCTAAACAATGGTGGAAAGAATTCTTGGAGATCCGTGAAGAACACCGAACAAGACTCGTGAAAATCTTCGGACAAGTAATTCCTCTTTTCTTTTCTGTTAATTTCATGAAATCATCAATTTCTTCAGGATGAAAACGGTGTCAATCATCCTGTTGTATCTTTCGTTCAACCATTACGTTCTGGCCGTTTACTCGATACTCCGCGAGAAGCAGCGCGATTCACTAGTTTAATTGGTTATGATCGTCACTCAGTTGTAGGAAATACAGATCGCACAGAAATGTGGACACATACACATGCATTTCTTGCACGAAATTGCGGAGTAAATAACTTTTGTATACGTTTCTACAATCAATTGCAAGAATATTTACTTAGGATTGTGAAAATCATGCAGTGTTACTTTGTAGTTTATTACTTGGTTTCGGTCTCGATGCTTATGTTTGTACGTACCAAATGTAATTGAAACTAATTCTAACAAGATTAAATTGTTTTTCATTGTTCAGGTATTGGTACCAAAGGTAAAAATCAAATTCATTCATGGGTTGTGACAATTGGTGCAGAAGATGTTTTCTTCTGGGAAAGTTTAAATGGAAACAGGTACGAGCTTTCGAAGAAAAGTATCACTGATCAATTTTATCTGTTCAGATATCAACATACATCGATCGATCCTGATAATCCTCCACTAGATAAATTATCATTGAATAATATTCATCATCCATATCGAACAATTGGTTGCATATTTAACGATCGATCATTCTATGCAAACATCCAAGTAAAGTGTCACTCGATCGCAAAACGTCTTATTTGATTTTGCATGTTGTTTAGCCAACCTGTAATGTAGATACATGTGTATTCCGCCTAACGGATCAATCGAAATGGAAAGCAATGTCTGCAGATGCTATCGCATCAATTAACACACCTGGTCTTGTTCTTACTGCACCAATCATGCCTCATTTAATGGCCAATACACTTGATCCAGTTGCTCTATCGAATGATCTGGAAAAACAAATGCGAGCACTGATTATTCAACATAGAAAAGTAAAGGAATTTATACAATCGATATCATTCTCAACGAGAGTTTTCTCTAGGATCTTGGCTATACAACGCAATTTGATGATCACTTGTCTTACTTATTAAGTCCAGCACTATCGTCGTATGAATTAGAGCGTGTCACAGGTTTATCTGTTGGTAACGAAGAATTTCAAGAGGCTGTTCGACGAGCTGTACCGAACGGTCATGCATTCAAAGGTTTTCCTATTCAATTTGTGCATAAAAATGCTCGTAAAGCATTTGTGTTTAGTTTAAAGTTAGAAAGACTTTCATTCAATATTTCACCCAATCCTTTTCATGTATTCGTTTCAGAAATAATCTTTGTGAAGAAATCGTCTGTTGTCATGGCGATCAAATTCGTCTAGCTGTTCGTGTTCGCGTATTCACCTATCCGGAAAATGCCATTGCTACTTGGATGATGTTTGCCTGCCGTTATAAAAGTGTTGGCTCGACAAAATAGAATATGTACAAATACAGATCCAGCACAGAAGAAAATTGTGTTCAATTTCTAGATGTAGTATGACTGCTTGTCTCCTTTTCGTTTTTCTAATGCGTGGATAAAACGATTTATTTAAAATAGAATCAGAAATAAACTAAACTAAATATACCATGCTAAGTGAAGACTATGTGTACGATGGAATAGCTTTCTAAGAAGGCTAGAGTAGGACACAATACCGGGAGGATGTATATAATGTAGAGAGAGGAAGAGTTAAATCAATGCTAAACTGATATTTGGAAAGAAAGACTTATGGGGCGGTTTTCGGATGAAATTAGATTTGTTCTTTGCCGATTGATTGAGCTGCCTGTTGGTCAACTAATGGTGATGTAAATTGAGTGTTGGATGAACTAAGTGGTGCAAATGAAGTTTTATCGACTCCACTTAATGATTTATGTAGGACATGAGCAGATGGTAAATCGTCCTGTGTTGATACGGTTGGTTTGGTTTCACCTTCGGGTGCTTGTCTTTGACCATCATGTGCATCGGAGAATGTACCTTGAAGAGGTAATCCTAAGTTGAGCGTTTTATTGAGTGCTGCTGTTTGAGCATCAGGTAATAATCCCGGTTTACTATTACTTGTACTAACGAAAGCACTTGTTTGATTTCCTTTACCGCTGGTGAGCTCTCGAACTTCATCGTCATTAGCATCAGTTAAGGTGGATTCAAGGTGCGGATCATTAGCTGAAGCTTCATTGGCCGCATCAACAGCAGCTCGACGAAGATCTTTATTAATTGAAAGAAGTCGGACTGAATCAGCACGTTCTAAATGTGGTTCGTATTGCTTGTCGATCGTTGATGGTGACTAAAAGTGTGAAAAAGGGAGCGAATGCATTTGAAATAACGATCATCATATGGGCTACCTTTTCAGATGACTGTTGTTCTTGCTGATTTGGTGATGTTGGTTGATCTTGATCGTCTTCTTCGTCGCTTGCTTCTTCACGATCAGGTGGTGCTGGTGTAGATGAACGAGATACTCCAGGAGTCGATGGAGCAGAAAACGTTTCACTAGTCTAAATAGATAATCAATAATGAACTAGATGACCTGATAGAAACTCGTTTCTTACACATTTAAGCAATTCTTCTTCAAATTCAGGATGAATACGTTGTAACGCCATTTGACGAGCACGATAATAATACTAACATGAATAGAATCGTATAAAATTGAGAAAAATTCTTCATAATTACATCTACTTACAATGCCCAATGTATTCCAATCTAGTAACTCACTCAATCGTTCGGTACGATTACGTAGAATGATTCGCTGTCGTCGAGTTAATTGTGAAAAATCAAACATATACTAAAATACGAACAGGAGATTCGGAAACAAAGGAAGAAATTCAGCTGCATACTTGGGCGAGTTGGTGGCAAGATTCTTCAGCACTTTTATATCGTCTGTCAACAACATAAATACCATACGTCTCAGCTTGATGAACATGTTCTTCCATGAAACAGCCAAATCCACTTAGATTCGTGGAAATATTTGGTACACCCATGACAGTACATTCAGCTGGTGTGTAACCCCATGGTTCATAATACGAAGGAAAGACACCAAGATGGCAACCGCGAACGAATTCTTCATAATCCATTGGTAACAGTGGGCTTGTTGAGCGCAAGAATTCAGGATGAAATATAACTTTGACACGATCATATCTTGTGTTAAATAATTGACAACGACGCAATGCATTCAATATAGGATCTGTCGAATCGTTACACACATTATGTGTACATATGGGCGGCAAACTGGATCTCTAGAACGAAAAGAGAGCGAATGAAAACAATTTTCGAAGTGAAAACAGAACATACTTGTGAAGCATAAATACATTTCTTCAATTCAATCAAATCACTTGCTTGAAGTATTTGATCTGGCGTGGGAAGTCGACCTCTAAAACGCAAAGAAACGATCTGAACATGGTATTCACTTTTCAATACACTTTTCCAGTGGCTCTATCTGTGAATGTTCTATCTCGTAAATTTACCTTAGACAGATTTCATAAAGTCGTTTCCCAATGTCACTTTGAACATTTTGTACTGTATCACGCAGCATTTTGGCTACAGATTGTCCTCTTAAGGACTCGATATTGAAATTATTCGTCGCAGTTGGAAAGATCATAAACGCTACGATTGTAACATCAGAACCAGATGACTGTCAAAGAAAAGGCAGTAGGGCCATGATTGGATCATAGAAGATTCTTACTTTAAGCATATGATTTAAACGAGCTAATGATTCGATGAACATATCCGCACCTTTATTCGAAAATTCATATCGTCCAGCGATAAAGAAGTAAAGAGTTTTATCCAAATCGAAATCATAATGCCTAAAGAAATCAATGAATATTTCCAAAACAAACAAAATGATGTGCAAAATGAACTTTATGCATAAATTTTCATCGTTATCTCTACCCTAGAAAGTGTCCTTGGATAAAATTTGTTATTCTTTCTTGCGAAACAATCACTGGATCTACTGACCACATCGAGCGTGATTTACGTCGATATAGTTGGATATTTAAGCCGTTTGGGGTCAGAATATCTATCAACAATGAGAAATTACCCGTAGAAATGTCCGCGTACAAAAGCATTCAATTTCTCTTTATTTTGAGCATGTAAATTTTGGAATTCATGCAATGCAGCAAATGTTTGAACACTGAGCCCATTAGGCGTCAAGATATCTGGGAGCAAAAGAAAACAAAGGTAAGTAATATTCCGAGCAAAATAAACATCAAATTAACAGAAAGATGTGCCTTACCAGGTTTCTTGTTCAGTAGATATTCTGATTCGATACCGGTGATCTTTGAAACAGTTGTAAATACATGCGCACAAGAGGCGGCAGCTCTTTCGATACAATATCGATGATAGATTTGACGGTCACCAGCTTCTTTGTCTAGGTCGAACTAAATAAAGACATATTCGATTCGATGAGGTTCTATGGAGAAGATACTGCCATACCCTACTTAAGTTATTATAGAAATCAGCTGCACCAGCACATAAGTATCGGCCGAGAAGTGTGGCATGAGTTGTGAATATTAATCCACAATCATATCCACGAAGTCGTGTCATTACTAGGCCAACACCTGCCAGCCATTCGTGGAAATGAGCGATAACGTAGCTTTTCTTTATTCGTTTGACATGTTCGATAAACTACAAGAATCGTTCAAATTTAATGAAAGAATATCATGCAACTCACCGTTCCAATGAACCAAAACACACAAAAGCCAAAAATCAATGCATCATTGGATTCGCGATCGTGATACGGAATTCCGATATGTGCATATTCAAAAAAGTCACCTTTCCATCCATCTAGTCGATGTGCAGCTGAACCGATATCAAAGAGAACAACTTGTGGAAAGCCTTCAATCAACCAATTGCCTGTTATAACCTATGAAAATTATTTTCGAGTTCAATTCAAACTATTTGCATTTCAATTTACATTAACACCGTAACGCTTCATTTCATTGACAGTCTCTCGTATTGCTTCGATCTTCGATTCACCAACTTCAACTTCGGTTTTAACAAATGAATCATTGTACGGACCCAAACAAATATAATTATTTCCATATTCTTTCTTCGTTATTGGTACTTTCGAACGAATAACCGTATAGATTCCACCAACTAAATCAGTACGTCGGAGAACGATGAAAACATAAAGAACAGTTTGTTTACCTTTATTAGCCACCTCCCATGACACTTCTAACAGCCATTTATTCATTTGTTCTGCGGTTTCACCATTGTCCAAACACGATTCGAAATTAATACCTTGAAAGGTTCGCAGCGATTTGGCCGCATGTTTGATTTTCGAAATTGGCATTTTGTTTCGTTTTGCTATTTAATTTGATTATATCAATCTACACATATAATTAAACACTTCGATATACACAAGTAGATTTAATCTTAGTCGTCGAGCAAAATAATTAAACAAATATCTAAAAAGATTGTAAACAAAAACAGTAGAAATAAACTTTGCTTATTTATTCAATTAACTGTCAACGCTCGGTTTATCATGGCATTGGTTATTGGCTCACAAACATATTTTCTAATAAGACAGACACTCGTTTACTCCGCGTCAGACAGTAGAGAGTTCATTTAAGTACACTTTACAAAACAAAGAAATTATTTGAATCGGTTTGAGATTTAATGAAGCGATAATCGTAGGTAAGTAGAAAAACATCGATCGATCATCTGGCTTCCAGACCATAGAACCTTACGGACAAATATCCAAATTAGATGTAGATGGCGTTGTGTATCGAACTTGTATCAAAGTTTGTTATCTCATACAAAATGGACAAGTAGTGTCATCAAAATGAAACTACGTAGAATGATGTGTTCATGCTTTATTTCAATTGTATGACAATGATCATAGGATGATTTTTAACTGATGACAAACAATTAGATGAGTATTCTCATAATTTAACAACCGTCATTAGCGTTTTAACGCTACACCTCTCTATGAGAGAATTGTGGATTGATTCAATTGAATTGAAGAGCGTCATAATCAAGCTCGATCATAATCGTTTCGATATCTATATTTCATCAGATTTTGAAGAAGACCAAGAAACACTGGACGGTATTTTGGTGATGGTATGACAAATATAAACAAATTTCCCATTAATGGAACTAATGAGAGAAAGTATGCTGTTATATAGGCCGTGTTTTGCCATTGAAACTTGATACATGTCAATGAGAATATAAAGATGAATCGTGGGGTATTGAAGAGAACGAGAATATAACAACTGATAATAGTATGTTTGTAAGTATGTAAGACATTTTTAAAATTAGCCCAGACTGTTGCATTTTGATATAATGTTACTTTCTGTTTTGTTAACGTGAGTATCCAGATGATCGGTGAAACGAAATTGATTATATAAGGAATGGTGAAATGAAGCATATTTCTCACACTTTCATAATTTAAAAGGGAGTGGGTGTGAAGGTCCAATATACACCAAGACCGGTTCGATGATTTTTTCACCTGACGGATAAATGGCTCATAAAGAATACTGCTGAAATGATATACAATAAGTATCGGTATGACTAATTTTGCTATTCGTCGACTACCGATTTTATTAAATGTAATTCCTTGATAAATAACCATCGTTCGTTCTAATGTCGTACACGCTGTTAACGAATCATATGCAGCGTGAACAGCCTTCCGAAGATATTCCAGAAGAACACAACCGATTTTTCTGTTATTCGCGAGAAGTAAATGACTAACAACAATAACTAAACCAATTTGACCGACAATCGATATCCATAAACGATAGATTCCACTTCCCATTTCCCGTGTATTTGGTTGGCAGAACGTAACAATAGAAAACAAATTACAGACACTACCGATGACAAATACACTGAGAATAAGACTCTTGGAAACAGATTCGATGGAACAAAAAAGAATTTGTAACGATGTTATACCATAATATGCCGTCGTAAATTGACACTTAGGTCCGTAGAAACAGTTGGGGCAAGATGTATTGTTGGAATTGAGTGAGCAAAAGTTTGCGTTGGAATTCATAGGAAAAGTCTCGTGTTGTCGACTTCGAAAAAAACCGGTTTTGGAGAAAACGAGGAAAAAGAATGTGCCGAAGTAAAAATAGGAAAGGAGGAGAAAAACATCGACGTCTAAAATAACAACAGAAACGCGTAGGAGAAACGCTAAGAAAAAAATGTTGAGAGAGAACTGCTGCACGGCTACGCCTACGTACTATATTCTCAAGCTTGCTGTATACGTCATGTTCATGAGGCTCATCGAGTTAACCCTTTCGACCGCCATGACATCAATTGATGCAATACAGAATGTAAGAGAGATATTTTTCGTTCTGTCGTCTTCTAAGAGCTCCAATATCGTATGATGTTCAGCTAAGTTATAGCACGTGATTCTTATTTCTTATCAGAATAGATTTTCTTTTAGATTTAAATACAGTTGGTTAAACGCACGAGAGAGATTTTTTTCTATCTTTCGTGTTTACATAGAAGGCAAGAAAATCTCGGCATCGAAAGGGTTAAGTTGAAGCATCCGGCATATTAAAGAAAATCCTTAGATATCGACCAACGGAAAGTTCAATTGACTCGCTTTTCCATAAAGACTACGTATATACAAAACAATTTCATAATAGTAAAAAGTATGTGTGAGTGTCTTATAATGAATAAATTCTATACAGGATCGTCCTTTAAATAGACATGTCCTGCCTTTTGACAAGTATATCATTCTTCAAGAATAGTCTATGAGATCCTCATATTTCGGTGACAGGATAGACCATCGTTATTTTAATTCAAATATGGCTACTCTGTCATGCAGAGCTGAGTAGGTTTCAACCCTTACGAATGTTCAAGCAGGTTTCTCAATAATCTACATGTTGATAATTTCCTGATTGCTTCTGTTACTTTATACGATATTATCCAAAAAGGAAGCAAAATGCCTGCTTATTAGAAGCTACTACGTCCCATATCAGAATGACACATAATAGACTGATTTGCCAGATAGATTTCACAAGTAACTGGAGCTTGTTATACAAATGATGCTTTTCACGCCTGGAAGCATAGAAGATTAAATTTTCAAGTGACTTTCTACCTCATGGTAATAAATGTCATAATAATCATACATATATCAAGGATGTTTCGGCTGTTAACCAGAATTATATTGATAAGCACCGAATATAACTTAAAAACTAACGGTTTTCTCACGAACGTTTTCCCTTTGCCGTTCCACATGAAAAGTGTACAAAGATGGTTACGTCCGTGAATTATAATATACCGATGAATATTGGTAGTTAGAAAGAGATTTTCCATCTCTATGAATGGGATTCCCGTTTGAAGTTAATGCGAATAGGAAATATCATCGACGCCATTTACAAATCGGATCATGTTTATTTGTGTTTTACAATGTAAACGACTCTAGCTTTACGCTGACTGCTGTTTGTAAACTTTTGCAGTCTTTTTAAAACTTACCTGCGATTTCAAAGTCATCCGGCGTTGGTTTTTGCCGCTCGTAATGATTGCACAAAACTTTTAAAGAAATAGAGCAAAAAGTGAAAATCTACATGCATGTAACTTGTCGTACGCAGTGTACGTCAGGTACGTGTCGCACGCTCGACATAGAATGAATCATTTGCCAAGCTTAGATAATACTTCAGTTTTGTTTTTACGTTTCTGTCGATAACATATAGCGTCAAGCTGACAGGATAAAAATCACGTGCTATAAAGCGTTTTACACATCAACTTCAATATTTTATTTATTCACAAGCGTTGACTACGGTTTCACGTCATTTTTACTCTTCATAACAAAAGAACAAATGGGTATAAACTCTTCTCAAACACTCCGTCGTAAAAATCTGACTGCACAGGATATTATTCATGAGTGTAACGAACAAAGTAAAGTCAAACAATCGTACATTCTTGTCACTGGAGCTACATCAGGTATTGGTATCGAAACTGGTCGAACATTAGCGTTAGCAGGAGCAAAAGTTTATCTGATGGGCAGAAGTGAAACGAAGCTTCAAGAAGTGATCACAAATATCAATAAAGAGTTACAACAAAGCACGACCGGTGGATCTGTTCAAGGTGTGCTCTGTGATTTGAATAGTTTAGCAAGTATTAAAACATTTGCTCAAAAGTTTATTCAAGACAATATGCCGTTAAATATTCTAATACTCAATGCTGGTATATTCAATTATAAGTTTGCTCAAACTATCGATGGGCTCGAACAAGTTATGGGGGTGAATCATATAGGTCACGCTTATCTAACGAAATTACTAATGCCGGTATTGATTGCTAATAATCCGTCAAGAATTGTTGTAGTTTCGTCTGAATTACAATGGGGTCCACCGTTGAATTACCAAGCATTAGAGCAAATGAGTAGTGCATCGACTAATCGCAGTAAATCCTGGGGTATGCTCAGAAGTTATCAACAAAGTAAACTAGCAAATGTATTATTTGCTCGTGCACTTGCTGCACGATATAAAGACAAACAAATTACTGCTTATTCACTCCATCCGGGAGTGATTGATACGAATTTAACATCACAGCTACCATTGCAAGGCGTTCTAAAAAAATTTATCCCCAAGAAAACACCTGAACAAGGCGCAGCTACTTCAGTATTTTGTGCAATCAAGCCCGGCCTGGAAACTGAAAATGGACGATTTTTTCAAGATTCGACTGTGACTGACCTCGGTGATAAGTGGACCGAGGATGATCTCGATACATTCTGGAAGTGGACAGAAAAGATCATCGACGAACGAACAGCCAATTTATCATGAACAGTTATAACTCATTGATTTTCTCTAGCATTATTCACTATTTGTAAACTACAATAATAGACATTCGACTTCGACAGTCTAAGGAAAGATGTCTCTCTCTTTCTAGCAGAATAATTCAATGCCATCTGCATGCGGAAAACTCTTTTTCTATTCGCTTGGTTTCTCAGCAATTCCACGGGGAAATCGATTTTTTATGAAAAAGAAAGAAATATATCATATACATTGGAGATCTAATCGAGAATTGACATTGTTTTTGCATAATCAATACTTTCTTTCCAAGAAAACCAGCAAATGCCAACTATTTTACCACGTTACTTGAAATATTTTTCTTTAATCGTGCTCGTAATCGCTATTCTCTCTAAATACGAAGTACCTTTGAACTCCGCATCGACAGATAGGAAAACGTTGATGTTTACAAAAGTCGCTACTATTCAACAGGACCGAGTACATGTATATAAAGTTATAACAAATATTGACAAATATTCGTCGGTATGTAAACATTCGTTATTCTTATCTTTGACGAAAAGATCTATCTATTTCTAGTGGTATCCAAATGTTGCTCGTGTTGAACATATTCAATTAGTTCCATCTCGTGTACATAATCACGAAGGCGAAAAATACCAGTTGATTACCAGAGTACCTTTAATTGGTAAATAGCTTCATTTCAGGAGGAAAGATCTGATGAGTTAATTGTTTTTAGGCGATGTTTCATCCGATTTGATTATTCATACTGATGATCACCCGAAACGATTTGTCTACTCTGTTGATTCTTGGTTACTTGAAATGAATTCAATTGAATTGAAGGAAAGTTCTTCCAATGTGAATTCTACTCGGATTGAATGGACTGTTTACACCAGACGACGCAGCATCCTTTTCCAGGTAAGAATAGTCATTTTATTTCGAAATCAAATGTATCTACGGCTCTGTCGTTTACTTCGTTTTAGTATTTGCTGTTACCTTTTGCGAGTTTCTACAAAAATCAAATTGTACGTGAAGCTTTGTTTTCACTGCTCATGCAAATCCGTGATCTTTGATTTCAAACAGAAAGCAAAAAAGATTTCCACACTCATAATCTCGACATTCCGGACTGCTTTGTTTTGTCTGATTACATATCTGTGTGCTTTTCGTGTCGATTTATTAAATATACAAAAAGATCTTCTATTCGAATTCGAGTGAACCACTCGTAGACATCTAATGACATCATTGTAGATGTCTCTGAACAAATGACGAAGGAATTGAAAACATCATTGGTCTTCGTCGTTTAGTCCTATCAGAATTAGTGCATGTCAGTCATTCAAAAAAAGCTGGCCTTAGATTCTGGTTGCATCATTTCTTAGAAATTTACCAATCTTACGCGATCATTCTCGAAATGTCGGACATAAATACATTAGCATTTACTAAAATGTTTCTTCATCTAGCTAAATATCCTGAACTAGCTGTCAACGGTATTTTATTAAGTGAGAAAACAAGTTCAGCGAGTGATGAAGCCGATTCCTCATCGTATCTTCACTTTGTTGATTGTATTCCACTATTTCATGGTATTCTATCTCTATCACCGATGCTAGAGATTGCATTATCACAAATTGATGCTTATTGTTCATTAAAAAAATTAACTATTGCTGGTTATTATCATGCAAACGAGAATTACTCAGATCCGAAGTAAGGACGGACATTTTTGCGAGGTACTTTACGAATGATTTGTATTCCACTTAGCCCAAACTTTACAACTTTGAAAATAATGGAGAAAATCAAAGAGAACAATCCAAATGCAGTGTTATTTATGGTAGTGTTGATCGTCCATTTATTCGTTGAAAGTATTCGTATGAAAAAATTCCATTTAGATTGACAACAGTCTGGTAGATTTGACGGAAAATGATCGATTTTATAACGTTTTTACATTATCTGACAGAACGTGGAAGAATGTTACCGATTCGTAAGTTTAATGAAATAGAACAGTTCGATAACTAAGCAATTCTTCCTTATCAGACACATTGTCAATGATGAAAGTCGATTGTCTGCTATGCAATTGGTTAACCGTAAGCAACATCGTCAATTGATTGATTTCGACAATCATTTAGATTCTATTTCGAACGATTGGCGCAACCCACATATCCGTAACGAACTGAACGCCGCATCATTTTAGCAATATCCAATTCTCTTCGTCTCAATGTTGTTTCCATTTTTCTCTCTGTCACGTTCGATTTCATCGTTTCATGTTTCTTCTCTCTCTCTCTCTTTTTTACTAATACTATGTTAAACAGATATTCTTAGCAAGAAAACAAAGAACATACATAGGATTATATGTGTTTTCTTTTTTCTGTTTTTGATGAGCATCTGTCTTCGAACGATTCTCAGCCGATATCAACTCATCTCATTCTCCAAACGACTTCTCTCGACGAAACCCGCAACAACATCGGAATTAAAATTAAGTGATAGTTGCGTTCGACGTCTCCAAGATATATTAAAGAATCCATCGGAAAAACTTCGTGTGTTTGTCGAAGGCGGCGGTTGTTCCGGTTTTCAATATAAATTCCTTGTCGAATCAAACAACGAAACGATCAAAGACGAAGATTTAATCATCGAACGCGACGGTGTGAAAGTTATTGTCGACAAAGATTCATTAGAGTTATTAAAAGGTTCAACTATCGATTATCAGGAAGAATTAATTCGATCTAGCTTTCGTATTGTCAACAATCCCAACGCTGAACAAGGTTGCTCCTGTGGGACATCATTTTCGATCAAATAATGTCAGCATCAACATTGGTTTCGGGCTCAATTCGAGCCGTAAATCGAGGTAGACGTTTAACGAATCTACCGACTCGGGCAGCAATAACTCTAACTGATTCAGCTGTTCGTCGTGTTAAAGAAATTTTAAATGCTAAACCGGAAGCGATTGCACTTCGTATTGGTGTTCGACAACGTGGATGTAATGGTCTTTCATATACACTTGATTATGCGCAAGAAAGGAAGAAAATGGACGAAGAAGTTTCTCAAGACGGTGTCAAGTTGTTAATCGATCCGAAAGCACAACTATCCTTGCTAGGAACAGAGATGGATTTTGTCAAAGATAAATTATCAAGTGAATTCATATTCAATAATCCAAATATCAAAGGAACCTGTGGTTGTGGTGAATCATTTAATGTTTAGCACGAACGAAAATCAACAACATCCGTAGATTGCTCTTTCCCTGTTTGTTTTTATATATAAAATCAAATTTAGTTTGTTTTGTATTATTATTTCCGCATTTTTGCCTTTGAGTTCGCACTGCCATCTGATCTACTAACTGTACTTTTTCAGTTACTGTATTTTTTGTTTGCAAATGTTTTAGATGGGTCGACGAGGTCATAAGAAGCAAAAAGCATTTCGACGTGCTGTGAGTTGATTCTGATGCCATTATTTTTTGCAAAAATCAACCCAACTTTTAATAGAAAGTCGATGCCATTCGTAAAGCTCGTACCGAGAAGCAACAAGGTCAAGATGGACAAACACCCGTCGACGGAGACGACACAGTATCCAATGATCGACCACGCACGAATCAATACGAAGATATCGTGAAAGAAAATGCATTGCTAGAAAAATACTACAAAGTAAAGCATATGACACGTCGAGATTAAATTTTTGTATACCGTATTTAGACAATGAATCTGGTGCCTGATGATGAATGGGACGCATTCTTAGCAGCATTGAAAGAACCATTACCAGTAACATTTCGTGTAACCGGTTTTCGTTCGCATGCTTTTGCTGTCATGCATCTAATTCGAGAACGATACTTTCAAGCATTGGAGTCGTCGACAGCGATCGAGAAACCGAAGGAACTCGTTTGGTTCGATCTTTATGCGAAAACATATTTAGCCTCGTCACGAGCGAGCGTTTTTCTTCTAGGTATCCAGGTGGTCTTGCTTGGCAATTGAATCTTAGCCGAAATCAATTACGTAGTTTTCCAGAATTACAGAGACTCAAAGAATTTCTATACGAACAAACTGAACATGTAAATGATTCTTTCCCAATAGTTCCGTTTGTTATTTAATTCTTTATTTTTAGGGAAATATCAGCCGGCAAGGTATGATCATGAGAATATATATATATCTCGAGTAAGAATTTTCTATCGAATTTAATTTATAGAGGCTGTATCGATGATCCCGCCCTTGGTGTTGGATATTCAACCTCATCATAAAGTATAGAATGATGCGAATGTTTAGTAAATCCCAAAATAAAGCATCAATTTAGATCTTAGATATGTGTGCTGCGCCTGGTTCGAAAACGGCACAAATAATTGAATGTCTTCATCGTGATGAATCCAATCCCATTCCAAGTGATTATACTCCTTACTAAATCATAATTACCAGCTCTATTTCTGTGTCAAGGCGGTTTTGTTATTGCCAATGATGTGGATAATAAACGGTGCTATACACTTGTTCATCAAGTCAAACGATTAGAAAGTCCATGTTTTGCTATTATTAATCATGATGCCTCAAATTTACCAAATTTGAGATTCCAAGTGAGACATTCGCTTTTAATACTTTTCAATTCCATTGGTTCGATGTCCTTAAGGATGGCAATATATCCTTCGATCGTATCCTATGTGATGTTCCATGTTCCGGTGATGGTACACTTCGAAAGAACCCCGATCTATGGAAAAAATGGAATCCCGGTCACGCATTCAGTTTACAATCAATTCAATTGCGAATTGCCACACGTGGTATTCAACTTCTTGCCCCAGGTGGCCTTATGGTTTATTCAACATGTTCGATGAATCCTATTGAAAACGAATGTGTTGTTGCTCAACTACTGCAGACATTCGAAGGTCATATCTCGTTGGTTGATATCGGTGATAAATTACCAGGTTTGAAAACCAAAGCTGGTCTAACGAAATGGTGTGTGATTGCGAAGAATCATGAAGTTTATCATTCTTTTGCCGAAGTACCGGCTAACATGCAGTCATTAGTTCGACCATGCATGTTTCCACCGTCCGACGATATCTTAGAACGATTAAATCTTGAACGATGGTAAATGATTCATTTTCGATTTATTCATTCATGAAGTTATATGAAAACTTTTTAGTATACGTCTTCTTCCGCACCATCAAAATACTGGGGCTTTCTTCGTTGCTCTCTTTCGCAAACATGATAAAGCTGCTGACACTCCGTCCGCAGCCCAAGAAGAATCCTCTCAAAAACGACCAGCTGAGGAAATGACATTCAACGAAGAAACGTACATGTCAATGCAATGTTTTGAACATGTTTTCTACTATTCTTCTTTCTTTAGAGCTAATTTTAAACGTGCCCGATATCATCGTGAGAATCCGTTTATTTTCTTCGATGAAAAAGATATCAGTGGTTTTTGGCAAGAAATCAGGTATAGCAGATAGTGCAAGTATCTTTCCTAGATTCTATTTCGCTCATATGCAGTGAGTTCTTCGGTGTCGATCCATCATTTCCTGCCGATCAATTAATGACAAGAATCGCTGCTGATAGTGGTCGAAATATTTACTTTGTATCCGACAGTTTAAAACAAATTGTTACTTCCAATAAAGATCGCATTAAAGTACTTATTTTATGAATGTTATTTCTTATACCAATATTGATCGTTCTAGTTCATCAATATGGGTGTTCGTCTTTTTGTTCGAACCGATTTGCGCAACGATAAAGACAAACGTTCGCTAAGACTCTGTCAAGAAGTAAGTTGCTCTTGCATGGCTATTCAAATATACATTCAAGTTTTTCTGCAGGGAATTGCGATTATTAATAAATACTTTTCGAAACGTCGTATTGAAATAGAAGAATCAGATCTTTTGCTATTACTAGCACATACACATACACAATTTGCTGCTCTATCACAATCCGTACAGAAACAACTCGAAAATATATCCAGTGGTGAGTACGGAATCATTCGTAACAACTTTTCTGCTCATTTTTTGTTCTCTTCTTACACGAAAAATAGACTTGGGCAGCGTGATTTGTTCATATCTGGTGAAACTACACGATCTTGAAGTGCCAGTTGTCTTTGTTTCGTGGCGTGGTCGAAATTCATTTCGACCGTTCGTCAGTCATTCATCACGAAAGTTCTATTTCTCACTGTGTAACGTCGATCAAGCGACGATTAGTAAGTATTCATTAATGTATCAGCTCGATCTTTATCAACTTTTTCTTTCTCTAGATACGATCATTGAAAAATTGACCATCGACGAGAAAAGCAATAATAATAATATTAAAAAGGACGAGGATGCCTCTTGACGTGTTTTTTGTACCGAAAAACAAATAAAAAAACAACAAGATGTTTTTGTTATCAAAAGAAACCGATCGTTTTCACAGTGCTTCATTCGATATCAGAAGTCGTTATTTGCGAATTATTGAACATCAATACGTGAACATTTTCAATCAACCTTCTTCTATACACAATGAAACAAGTCGACAGCTCTGATGTGTCTAACAAATTGTTTTTAAACGAGGAATATTTCGTTTTCAATGACCTTTCACTAGTGGAGTTCTGTTCTGTTTTGACACGCTTTTCATTAAAGTAGAAAATCACGCATCTGGGCAAGTTAATTGACAATCGATGTTTACATGACTTCGACAAAAGGCAAAGCATCAGTCAATTAGATAAATTCAACGTCATTAGAACTAATGAATTGACTTCTGTTAAATAATTAACAGGAGAAAAGTCTTTTTCGTGTTCTTGTTTGATGTCAGTTGACAAAAAGCAAACGAACTTCGACGTTGTCACGATAAATCAGTATGAAGTCAGTCACCATCTGCTTGTCTACTTTTGTAGTCTTTAAGAAGAAGAGAAAAATGCGCATATGCACTTCGTTATCGTCAATGGTCATCTTTACTTTCGGAAGCCAGATGATGACTGGAGAAAAACGATCTTCTATTGAAATTCTACCTGTAAGAAAAATCCATGGGGAAACGAATGAGAGAGAATAGAATGTGACCACGCTGAGAAATCACTTTCATAAATGGTTCAATGAATCAAATATTGATCGAATGAGAAGAACTACTAATTGATGGAATTGTACGGATGTATTTGTTTGTTCGAAGGACAGTTGACACCTTTGTGAATAGGTCACAAATGTTCATAGCGATACACACAGCAGGATACTTGTTTCTCCTAATGACTGTCAATTAGTGTGCGACACTTTTCGAATGAACCAAATGTCAGCCAAGCAATGCTCTACGCACGAGTGATTGAAGACATCGATAATATATCTGAATATGATGAATTTTTTTTATCTCTATCAATATGTGTGCGTGGGACACTCCCTCGCTCACAAAGTGCCATCCATGACAGATTCAGTGAATAAGATCAAAGAGGATATGGTGAAGCAGATGTGAATGTGTGTCTTCAATTCATTGTTCTAATTAAAAATTGTTCAATGAATAATCATGAGAATTTTATCTCTTTAAAGTTAGTGGACTCATCATTATTTTTCTTGTCGGTCGAACTATGATCACTTTAGAATGAACAAAAGAAAGGGACCTTACATACGCGTGTAATTGAATGAGCATGTGTTGTCTTCCATTCACACTTTTTAAACGTGTCATTTCAGTCACCTACTGAGTGACTAATACTCCTAAAGGCATCAAACAGCGTGCAAATCCGGCACGGTACATTACAATTCTTTTAATTAGAATAAGACAAAAAAGTCACGGGTCAACTCTCTAATTGCTGACCTTTTTCCATATAGTTCCTTTCTTTTTCTCGACAATGTTTATTTAGATTCAATCAATTGTTATATTATTCCGTTGCATCATCAGTTGAACCTTTTTGTTTCTGTCCACATAATGAAATCAAAGCATGGATTAACGTGACCTTTTATTCCTTTTTTCTTGCTAGATAAGCAAAGATATACATACACACACACACACACACATACAGATACAATCACCACAACACAAAATGAACTATACAGACAAGGATTTCTTTTCTTTTTTTTCTCTATAGATGTATTCGAAACATTCTCTTACTGTCAAGTACTGTCATATGAAAACAAATTGTTTAGTTTATCATACGACCACTTCATAGACAGTCTTCTTGCTTTGATAATGAGTTTTTGATGGAGTTGAGTAACCACTTTCTGCACTATCTTCTTTCATATGTTTATTTGATACTATTTCTTGGATATTACTCGTTGGAGTATAAAATGGAAAACCATAGCTGCCATATTGCGATTGTGTCCAAAGTAGATCGTTTTGAGCAGATGATAATGGTAACTCAGTTGGATTTGTATATGATTTGTATGATAAGTCTGTCGGATTTGTTGATGGATAAAAATCAGTAACTGTTAATTGATCACTGCCCGATAACGATGATGAATTTGGATTTGATAATAAGATTGGATCGCTCGAGCCACTCGCATTGCTGGAACAATGTCCGTTTGTAGCTGCGGTTGTTGTTGTGACAATCAAGCGGTTTGTTTGTTTATCTTTGTATTGATCGAGCTTTTGAATTTCAGCTATTTTGGTGAATGATGAATGAAGATGCTGTTCAGGATAGGAGAATAACTTTGTTGGACTAAATCCAAATAGGAGAAGAACAGTTAATTGATTAGATGATTAAAGTTCAACTTACCTTGGAATAGATTCAATCACGATTGGTGGCTTTTTGATGGAAGAAGTGACTAGAAATGAATCGTTGATCATATCGATTGAAATTCTGCGAAAGGAATCCTCTTACTCATATGAGCATTACTATTTCGTCGTCGTTTGTGGTTTTGTACAAAGCAAAAGATACACAGACCGCAAAGAATCAGAAAAAAGACGATAATAATCGAAGCAATTAAAATAAATATCCAATTAAATGCGACTTCGCGTTCTAAAAAGAACAAATATGCATGTTTGAACGAACAAATCACATTCATCTCTCTTACTCATTTCAACACCAACAGCATATCCACAGTAATCGATATACTGATCAAGACAGATCGACACATTGTGAACATTGAGCAAATCGTTTTTCTCTAATTTGATAATTCCACTCGATGTAACTATCCGTTCGCAAAGATTCGATTGGTTATAAATATCGATTCGAATACATAGCGGAACTTTCAACGAGAGGAAACTGAAGTTATTCAAGCGATAATCAAGTGTTTCCTCGGAGAAATGTATTGTAGCATATTCAATTTGGGGTAAATCTAAAGGTCAACAGGACATCGCATTCTTTCTCTGATTTCCGTTCGTTCAACAGAACATACCTTCTCTTTCAATCGGCACATTTTTTGTTTGTACGCTTATCGACGAAGCATCACGACTTTGCCCGAGACGATTTCGTGCTCGAATTGAAATATTGTACAGTTGCGAATGTTGAAGATCTACATTGAAGAAGAAGTGCGTTGTCGGATCAAATGAAACCTTGCTTAATTGTTGAACTTACTTGTAAATACATAGAGACTTTCATTAGTTTCTTTCCATAATGAGTTATTAAGTGAAACCAAGAAAGTTTGTGGCCAACCTCCATCGAAACCTGCTTGCCAAGTCAAACTAATGGTTGAATATGTTACACTCGTTAGATTCACATTTGTTGGTGTTTCAGGTACATCTAAATGAGAGACGATCGAACTTGAAAGACTTCTCATTAACGAAACAACTGGTACACAGATGATTGATGATCAGTATGTTTGAACTTCTCTCAATCAATATTGTTTTCGAGCAAACAATGAAAAGAAAAGAACTGATTCTAGTTACCTTTTGATCTTAATTGTATTGTAGCTGAATTGTGGCCAAGTCTGTTCGAAGCATTGCATGTGTAGAGACCGTAATCGAAATTTGATTGTAATTGTTGAATTATCAAATACGACGAGTTCTTGTTTTGGATAATTGAATATTTATTTGAGGGAAAGATTTGTCGTTGATTGTACGTCCAGATGATATTCGATTCGGGATATGAATCGATTTCACATTCGAGCTTCGTATTCGATGCAAATGGATCGGATGCGAGTATCGGTGTCGGCGAACGAACGATCGGCGCATCTGAAAAACAAATTAGTCATTAGTGAGAAAAGTTATCACCTTCGTGTGAAGTTTTTCGCTCGTCAATTGTTGCATCATCAAAATTACTCATGCTCGGCAAAAAGTAATCTATTTAAATGTCAATCTTTGAGATTTTCTTTTCTCCTAAGTATCTTATCACGTCAATAATACGACTACACATGAGACTTGCCATTCATCTATCTACGAGATAGTACATCTCTATTCTCAATGCTAATGAACTTCTTCTGCTTCGAATAACTTACATTCAACAGTAACACGTGTTTGTGTCTTATCGAATTTTTCGACTGCACTTCCATTGGAGTATTTCAAAGTATTTTTCGCCATACACATATAAATTCCGGAATCATATTTCGACACCTTATCGATAATCAATGATGATGTCAATGAACTAGTGTTCAGTTTGACATCATTCTTAAACCATTGATACGAATCGATTGATGGATAAGCATCGACAATGCATGTAAGAACTAAACGTTTGTTTTCGGATAGAATTCCACCACCAGTCAGCCGAACAATTGGAGCATCTGGAAAATCGGAATGAATAGAAAGTATTGTTTTTCGTTTGCCTTTGAAGTGACTATCTTACATTGCACGCGAATATGAACTGATGCTTGACTACGACCAATAGCATTCGATGTTATACATGTGTATTCGCCTTCATCATTTCGTTTAATTGTTTGCAATGTCAATGTAGGTGAATTGATACCTAAAGGCATCGACACGATCATTTGAAGAGACATGAAAATGAAAAGTAGAGTACAAACCAGTCATCGATGCTCCATTTTTTAACCACGTGATTGGTTCGATGGTCGATGGATTCGATTGAATTTGACAGTCAAGTGTTAATCGATCATTCTCAATCACAAGTAAATTAAGATTGGTGACCAACGATGAACCGTGACGAAGATTAATTTCAGGTTTATCTAAAACATATTGCAATAGAATCGTAATTTCCTTTCCGAAAGGAGAAAAACGGAAATTTTTTTCTTACATTGAACGTTCAATCGAAGCGATGTACTCAATGGATCATCTAACGCTTGATTGTTAACTTGACATATCAATTGTTGATTGTGGAAACGTTTCTCCAATGGCAGACGTAGTTCACTTGTATTCGGAGCAACAGTATAGAATGACGTATTGATTGGTATTTGGTTAATCAACCAAGTAAACGTCGGTAATGGATTGCCTCCTTGTGTTGTGCAAACAAATAATGCTAAACTACCTTCAACTAAAGTCTCATTTGATTGATATAGTTCCGGTTTGCTTGGACGTGCTAATAATAATAAAACAGCATGATAAAAAGAGCATTCTTCACTCGAGATATCGATGTATTTGTACAAGCATCGATGTCTATGGATTAGCCTTATCTCTATGGTCATTCTAATTCCTCTTCTTCATCTATCGATTATTTTTATTTCCGCTATTCGAGTTTTCTTTGTGCTCCCAAGATAATGATGTACATGATTACTTCAAAGAATCGACAAAAAATGTTACATCAACAATTGAGAGTTTTGACCTTCATGTCCTTGATTAGAATCAGAAATCGAAACAATGAAGAACATGGTCAGACATCAATCATCGACTTGACCTTCATCTCTGCATCCCAAAGGGAAAAATAGGCGTCCCACTGTTTGTCTGTCGCGCATACATTCCATTAAATTCAGACACGGAAATCTACTCCGGATATTGTCGCACGTTCGTTTCAGAATGACTGACAAGGAGAGGGAAAATATAACCAAACAAATTTCGATGTTTCCTTTGATGTTTTCTGTCTTTGAAAAGAGTAAAATACACATCGACTAATAATAATGTTTCTTTTCTTTTTTTTTCAATACAAAAGAAAAGAGGCAAACGACAATGTATGTATGATTAGTGTTCATGTATTCGTGCTTGATCGGCTTCAATTTCACTATCATTCAATACACACCGATATGACCTTGTTCTTTTGTGTCTCACAATTGAGTTGAACATATACATATATATGTATATGTTTAAATTGAAAAATGAAAGTACTCGTTGCCTTAGGCTTTCAAAATGAATGCGCGTTAAAATCAAAGTCTCCTCTTCTACATACGCATGTGCGTACACACATACGGCTAAGATCGAATTTCGTCTGATCCTAAGACGACATGTGTATGTGTAGGATCAAGGTTGTATTTTTTTGTTACACGATCTTCTCTCGACTTACTTAGAACGGTTAATTCAATAGTCATGGATAAGGCTTGATCAAAATTTTGACATAAATATCGGCCACTATCATTTCCAGCAATGGTTTTAATGATTAAATCATATTTGCCAATGATCTCGTATTTTTGTTTATCACCTGAGATTTCCTGATTCACGGAAAGTACAACACCATCCTTTGACCTATCGAATAGCCGAAAGAGTGATTGATTTTCGTATTCAATTATCTTTGCTTACCACATGACTCGATCTCGATCGGTGAGACCGTCGAATCGACATGAGAGAACCACATCTCGGCCTTGTTTTTCAGTAATTGCTCGTGTACTCAGCACGACTGATGCGTGCGAGCAAGCAATGTGAATAGTAAATAGTAAGGCTCCTGTAGAAAAGAAGAAAACAAATCAGATTAGAGGACAATCTTAATTGTAAGGCTTCTAGTCTCTTTATCGAAAAAAATCATCATAGGATGTGTCATTTTAATTCGTTTGCACCCATATCTAAACATGGCTGATAGTTATCAATGCAAGTCTTGACTTCACACACATTGAAAGTGCTTTTTTCACTCATCAATTATTCAAGCGTAACCACTTTCATTTTTTTTGTCTTCTATCGACGAAATGTCAATCATCTTTTGTCTATCTCATTCTCTTTTGCATTTTTGAAATCAAATAGATCATCATTATCTGCCCTATCGCCTAGACGCGTCAATAGGGGAAATGAAAACGAGATTGATCGTATTTTCTGCCTGTCAACTGAACGCACATTTGATTCATCTTGATCAACGAAAGAAAAAGGAGACCAGTGCTCGAAACGGAAATCAGCTTTTTGTTCACGATAGAAGGAAAAACCAGAAATGTCTTCTTTTTTTTCATCAAATACAAAGAGGAGGTCAAGACAGATGTGTTTGATTTAAGCAAACTTCTTGGTCACTCTTCTTAATTAACAATTGAGTAGGAGACAAACAACATACGAATGTCAGCAGATGAGTAAATGTTGATTCTCAAGAAGGGAGAAGGAGGAAATTCAACGCGCTTTCTTGTTCAATACAACATGATATTGATATCAATCGCACGAACAAGAGAAACGACAGACTTCGACCTAATTCAAATTGCATCGAAGAATAGATGAGTGAAAAAAAAGCACTTTCAATGTGTGTGAAGTCAAGACTTGCATTGATAACTATCAGCCATGTTTAGATATGGGTGCAAACGAATTAAAATGACACGTCCTATGATGATTTTTTTCGATAAAGAGACTAGAAGCCTTACAATTAAGATTGTTCTCTAATCTGATTTGTTTTCTACAGGAGTCTTACTANTCTTTTTCAATCATTCAGATCTTTGTAGTTTATATCATCATTATCAAGACCTGTCTCGACGGGATGGTTACCTTGAATTTTATCGTCAAACAAGAAAAGTTTCTAAATGAGTGAACACACATCTACAAAACACCTGTGAGATAATCCCAGGTGTTACACAGACTGTTTTTACGCTTTTCCTCACATACATTCGATCGATTGCATAAGATACAATGCATATCTTGATGAATGATCGAAAAATTCATCATTACATTTCACCTTGAAAAATAATTATTTGTTACGGATATCGACGAAGAAGTGATTAACTTTCTCTGGTTGTGTGTGTATAGCACAGCATGTGGCATCATAATCATTTCCATAAAAAAAATTGACTGAAAGAAAGGAAAAGTCATCCTCGGCACGCCGTTTTAATTATAGACTGTACAGTTTTTTTCATCATCATATCCGGATTCATTTTTCGCCTTCTTTTTTGTGTCTAGTGACGACGCCGCCGCCAACTGAGTGATTGAGATGGTGTCATTTCCTCGTGCAAATTATTACTCATATATTTGTATAGAGTGTTTAAGTCTATTGAATAAAAGATTAAACCGTCCTCGATTCCGTCATCACCAAACAGAAAAATGGATGAGATCAAAACGTCGTCATGATGCGCAGAGACATTAACAATATACGGAGAAAATTGAATCGAAGAAGAAAGAAGGAGGAGCAGTAGTGAGAAAAGGATCAGATGGATAAATATGTTTATTTATATTCATCAAGGGCGTTTCTCATCAACTGGAAACGCGCGTTGCGTCAAATCTATTGTTTATTTTTTTATTAAACCATTCACGTACATCGTTCAACATATTGGTTAATGTAAAAGGCGGATCTATATCTGGCATGAACACACACGCACATATACGAAGCAATAAGAAATTCAATTGTAATATATAATGAATATCAATTAGCTACATTGAACATCTCGTCTGATTTCCGTTAGATAGTGATCCGCCTTTCACATTGATATTCAACTCCAGAGATTCGCCTGACCGTCTCTTGTTCATTTGATTCGATTAACAACGCTGAATTTGTATGTTTGACACAATATCCTACATAATCAAAGATTCCGTTGTCCAATGTCCGAAAGTTTGCTTCTAGTCAATGCAATTCCATCGAGCTTTTCTATCAATGCGCAATATGACTAACAAAGTTGATCTGCATAATATTGTATAGAATGATGACAGCGACAGACAGACAGTCGGCCAGATATATGATGATGACAAATTTACTATTACTCATCATGAAATGGATCAGTGATTGAGCATGCAATGTGCGAATTCATTAACAATCTTTTCTCGACTGTATACATTAATAAAAATACATTTTGTGAATTAATTTGATCAAAGTCTACATTCATGGATAGTTTATTGCTTTTTCAAGAATGCCAAATTATATCACAGAAGAATCAGAAAAAGGAACTATGAATTACTCGAACGAATTTAAAGTTAACGATTAGATATACCTTGTTGAAAGTCAACTCGTTGTTTGTGTTGAAGAACCAGACGGCCGAGTTGTTCGTTACGTTCACGTAAATACCGGATTAAATCGGCTTGTTTTTCCAAAACATTCTCGCGATAACTCTCGTCACTAGAACGAAACAATGCGTTTTCATCAAATCATAATCGAGTATGAACAAACCGAAAACCAATTTCATTTGCTGCTGTTTGCGAAGTGACGAAACTTGAAAGGAGATCTTCTTGCGTCGCATCAGGACGTGCACGGCGTTTATTAAATTTCAACGTGAGGACTACAATTCAAAAATATTAGTTTCGCCATACGTGGTCTAATGTCTTACCGAGATACCAAAGCAGAGCGCCCAATATAACAAGCACCTCAAGAGAAGTAAGTAGTACTAAGAAATACCATGGATATAATTTCCAATTCAAATGAAAAAGTGAGTCACGATAGGATCCGAGTAGTTCAATTAGAGCAACAAGAATTGCATTACCTAAAAGAGAGGATTTGTTTTTCAAACTAGTAGAAAGATACAAGTACCAATCGATATAATAAATAAAGGTGTACGTCTTAGATTTCTTGTTTGACGGTAGAATTCGAGGTAACCATCCCGTCGAGACAGGTCTTGATAATGATGATATAAACTACAAAGATCTTAATGATCAAAAAACAACAACAGGTTTCAATAACATTCACGAACCGATCAAAAGCAAGACTAACGATGTAACCACCTGCATGAATGTATAATGCAATATTATAACCTGAATGATTATTACATCTTCCTATTGTATCATTATGTAGAGGATCAGGACATATTATTGCCGGGAAGAGGACAATGCCTGTGATAAATGCAATCTAGATCGAGAATGTTCAAATTATCATTGAGAGAGAAAATGGTCAATTTACAGTCAAAAGTATGTGTAAGATAATGAAGCCAGTTGTTTTTATCGGTCGATAAGGTGGTTCTAGATGATCAATAAGTGGTGTATTCTCACGTGTAGTTTCGTCAGCACCCGTAAATGACCGATCATCGAAAGACATACCCTGATGAGAGAAAATTTAGAATCACAATGAATAGCACAGCTCTGCTATTATGGAGCAAAAATGAAATTGATGCAATCGGTAATCAGAGCAAGATGTCTGTGAAATCATCGAGCATAAACTCACTCCTCCACTGCGTCCGTGTTGGGTATTTAGGCTAACCATCTGAAAAGAACTGTTGAGTAGTAGGAAAAATGCATAGATTCGCCGTGTGTGTGTGTGTTTTTTTCTTCTTCTTCTCATCACAATCGATTCAATACAACAACAACAACAACAACAAGCAAAACAAAAAGAGGGAAAAGTTATTGACGTCGTTTATATTATCATAAGGAGAAAAAAATAATTAATAAAGACTAATTGTATACGAAGAAAATAAATCGCAACAATTTCGCGTGTTTTGATTAGTAGTTTAAGATATGATTAATCGAGAAAAAACGAACGAACGATCCGTACTGCCTGACTAGACAAGCAGTCTCACTGTGTATGTGGTTTAAGTTGTTTGAATGGAAGGGAGAGAGAGAGAGCGAGAGAAAAGAAACATGATCGATTTCTGTGAGGTTCATCAATGTGAGAAAGCAAGAAAAAAAGAACAAGTGCTTGAAGCTTATTATCTAGAAGTTTTGTTCGAATTTCTCAAATATTAAAGAAATGGGTTAGTTGAATTAGCCCGTGGCTTGCCGAATTGATTGGGTAACTGTTGAGCTGCTGGTTGTTGTTGTTGAGCAATATTCTAGAATAGATAAACGCAAGTAGATCAATGGAATCGTGTTTGACGGAGGTGTTCCTACCAGAAATGGATTCGGCTGATTAGTAGGTGGCATAGCAAAGAAATTTGATGAATCTACAAATAAATAGAATAGATTTGTTTGATGAGAATGGATGGATCTCACTGGTTGCGAATGATGGTTGACCAAATGGATTTGAAGGAGGAGGAAATTGTGGTGGAAATTGTTGAGACGAAAATATATTGGCTTGTTGCGGTTGCTGAAGAGGAAATGTTGGGAGTGTACTTGTGGAGGACGAAGATATTTGTGGAGTAGATGAATAAGTCGTATTACCAAATAGAGAATTATTTGGACCCGATGAAGACGACGTTCGATAACCTAGGAGAAGGATGAGAATAAAGTGATTAGAAATGCATTCGTTCGTATAGTATGCATGATTTCTCACCACCATTCGCTGTGTTTCCGAAAATTGAAGACTGTTGATCTTGTAAAGTATTTTGTGAGCTGAATAATTCTGAAAGTGCAGCATATTTATCCGCCTAGAATGGCAATTTTACAACAGATATGGGAAAGAGAAATGACTGACTGGTTCCGGTGGTGGATGAGCGAAGTTATTGGCCGGCATTGACATCGTATTTGTTGCAGGTGTGTTATTAACCATTGTTGTTGGATGATTAGTTGTTTCCACAAATGCTCCCCAGTTCGTATCATTGGATGATGTTGTATTTGTTTGAGGAAATGGGTGTTCTATAGAAAGTGAACACTGATAATTAAAAGTATTATTATAAGCAAAGTGTCTACCAGGAAAGAAGTTCTTGGTCGGTGATGTATTAGCTACCGGTGATATCGAAGATTGCAAGAAATCGTCGAACAGTGCTAAATACATTCATAGAGTAATATTCTTATTCAAATAGTGAAGAGAACCGTTCTTTCGCGTATGTGTATTGCAACACAGAATAGAATAAAAGTATCGAAAATGTCAACTGCAGGTTATGCTATATTGAATATATTAATTAAACCTACATGTTGGAGATATGGTGTTTGCAGGAGTAGTAATTGGCACATCAAATACCAGCATCGGTGGTTGAGTTGATGTGACTGATGGAACACGATTTGTCTAATCAAGTGAATCACAATAGTTGCATAAATGAAAAATCGTAGCAATAAACTAACCCGTGCAGTGTTTGTTGGCACGGTTGATGCTGGTTCAGGTGGCGATTTGATTGTATTTGTTATTGTATGTGCATGCGGAATATTTGATGAAGATTTAGTATTATTTGCAGCTGGTGTTGCTTTATCGAGATTGGCTTCGGTTTCAGCTTTTACCTTTTGTTTCATTGCATCGGTTGGTTCGACATACCATCTATAGGAGAGAATTTTACGAACAAAAGTCAGAGATGGTTGATTCTAACCGTTTTCTTTCATATTTTTGAGAGAGAAATTCTTTAAAGCGTTCCGTATCTTTCGGATCCGGTGAAAATCCAGCATTGGCATCATATAAACCAAGATATACCATTTTATTCAACTAAATCAGCAAAATTATTCAATATTCTATAATCGAACAAATTACCTGATTGCCACGAGATTTCATAAATTCAACTTCATCCTGAGTAAATGTTGACATATTAATTGATTTGACACGATGCGGAGGGTTTAGTCCTCGTCTAAAAATACATTCATTTCAAGCTTTTCTCCTCATCAATTAAAAAAAATGCTCTTAAATAATTCATTGACATTAGTCAGATTAATGTCTATTTAATAATTTCATATGATCTGTTCGAGAGACAACGCGGCCTTCATTTGTTCCTTTCAAATCTAATTTACTTACAAAAGACCACTGCATGCTGTACAAACGAAACTGCCAACAGTTACACTAGAAAAAAAGACACATGCTAACGATCATTTCAATACTTTGAAATCAACATACTCGACATAGGTTGGTCCTTTTGAATTACAATCAAAACATTGTTTATTCAATGGTAATGATGCCAAATCACGAATCATTTGAACGTACTTTTCTTCCTGACGTTTGTTTTTTGCTGTGGAACTGCCTGCCATTATTTAAATGAACAAGATATACTGTTTTCAAGAATCTAAAGTAAATAAATGATGATCAACTGTCACCCTTCTGTTTCTACGATCAAAACTCAATATCAATTCAAAGCTTTTGTTTAAATTTATAGATAAGAGTGCCGATATCAAAAACACCATTTTTATTTTATAAAAACATGCTAAAATGGAACTAGTAATCAAAGACAGAACGAACTCTTGCATTCTCCTCCTTTTTAAACTACCGAAACAACAAGCGAACGACCAACCAACCCAACCCGATAAAGAATGAAGCAGAGCAGACGATGATTCATCACATATGAATAACGATTGGTAAGTTTCATCAATCAATGATGATTAGCCAATGTATAGACTCCTGTTCTTACAAAGAAATGACTTCGGTTTTTCAACGTTTATTCTACGCTTTCCATGTAATGCTTGTTCAGTCACAAGAAATCATACCATGAAATAGATGTCACTTTGCTATATGTAAATGAACGTCTATCCACAATGCATCCGATCCATTTTGCAATATCGGGAAAACTGTCTGGGCATGAAATATGGTGAGCACGCGAGATCTAGTGATATTCACAGATGAAATTAGCTTTAGTATTTCAATTGCTCGAGAAGCATAAAGGAACAAAAGACGATCGATTTTATCGTATTATTATCAGATGAACTAAAAACTGAAGTTTTTAGACTTGAAGGTTTTATTCATCGATGATGATGTTTTTGGTTCATGCTGCCCGATTCGCCACCATACGGATCCAATCGATGTAGGCTGAAGTTTTTGTAAATACTGTGGGGAATGCACGTCTTCCACAGCCAATAGCATAACTAACGACCCCAGCAACGTACCAACGACCATTCTTTGAATATAACAGACCACCTCCACTATCTCCTTGGCATGATCTAAAGAATAGAATATGAAATAATGAGACTTATGCCTCCACGAGAAGCAAACCCATGATCTTTGTCAACAGGACCATTCGGAGCGGTACAAATTTGCTTTTGTGGATCATAGGCAAAGTACATCGAACAATCCGAGATTACGCGAAGTCGAGCTTGAAGGAGAACGGGACTTCCACTCTCCTTTACGTTATATATTGTATTTCCCCAGCCAGCCACGTAGACAGTTGAATCCAATGGTGGTTCAACAATCTAAATACATCAATATTCATACAATGGAAGAAAAAAAAACAGATTGATTCGTATATCTACGAACATTATCGACAAGACAGATAGGCTGAATTTCTTTTGTGAATTGAATCGGTGTAGCTAGTTTGATGATACCAATATCGTCTGTAGAACGATATTCATCATAGTTTGGATGTAAGATCAATTTTGCAATACGTATCAGTTGACCCGATGACGAACGATCATGTGCGCCAACACGAACGAAATAATTGCCGAGATCATTCGAATAATCCAGACAATGTGCTGCCGTCAAGACATTCAGTTCATCAATGATCACTCCACCACAATCGTGACTGCCTTTATATTGTAATGAAACAGCCCATGGAAATGAATGTGCTTTCGCCTGAAGACCATTTACAATTCGAGCAGATGCATGTAGATATGGTGAATAAAATGTCTGACCACATTGCGATCCAGCAACAGAAGTTACAGATTGGCAACAAAAACGTACTTTGTAATCAGGACAAGGCGACGAGCGAGAACCACTACAGAAAAGACCATCACGATTAATCAATGTTTGGTATGCGCCAGAGGGGTTCGTACTTGGCCGAACTACAGCGTGCTCAACATTTAAGACTGTATCACACTGAACTGAATTTCCGTATAATTGTCGAATGGTGACAAGATCTTCAACATCGTATCCATTATTGAGCGATGGATTCTGCGTATTGAACCATGAAGTCCAACTAGCTTGAGTTAGATCACATTTTGTATCCGAAAATATCGATTGTTCTTGGCCGGCAAAAACATTCGATGATAAAAGTATCAGATTGATGAGAATTACAATCAATGGCATCATTGTCGTTCTTTTCGAAGGCACCAATTGATATTGGGAAAGGGCTTTCGGAGGAAATCATCATATAAGTACTCTATTTTTTCATTTCTTTTTCTCGACAGATTATTTTGCTGTAATTTGTCCCTTTAGCTATATGCATTGATGAAATATAATATCGAAAACAATCAGAAATGGAGATTAAATTCAAGAAATCGAAATGCAAAGTATGAAGACGTCACGACAGAGGTTTAAACATATGATACTTTCATTTTCATTTCTCTGGAAATATGTCATGCCTGTACGCGACTAGCTGTTCAATGTACACATACTTCATTCAGAAGATGATTTCGAACTCGTACATACACTCTTGTACTTATTAACACGATTCATATTTTTTATTTGAGAGGATACAAAAGAGCGTCATCAATGTAGACACATCACTTTATTATCAACAAATATTTGGAGAGTGTGCGTCCGTATATACCTGATCGTTTCGTCATTGATTGATTTACGTAAATAGACGATACTTGATAAATTCGAAGCATTCTTATTATTAATAGATTCAGATAGCAGTCATTTGCGAACAAAATTTTGTGGTAGAAAGTGCTTAGTTTTCTCTTCACATCTGATCGAATCATGTTGAACAAAAAGAACATAAGTCAATTTTCTATGATTAATGCATGAGCATTAGTAATCTAGATGATTATTCTCTTTTTTTTCTATCTTTTATGATTGATATAGTTTTTGCCAATGAAGGAGTCAAAATTTTCCGATGCGTATAAAACCATGATTGTATTCGAGCAAATGATATATTTATAAGGTATTCATTAGTCTAATTGCTAGTCATTGGTCGACTTTTGCCACACTTTTCACATCATATGCCTTCATCGATATATGTATCTTACAGGCCATTCTGTCTCGAAATGCGCTACAATCATTCTTGTAACGTGTAACATTTCTCCTTCGATCGAAACCATGAAAAATGCGTAAAATAGTCAGTGTCCTTTTCTCGCTGTCTTTTCTACCTAATGAAGTATACACATATGACTCAGAACTTAATTGAATACGACGGTGGAGTTCTGCTCGTGTAGGAAAACGTGCTGTTTGTTTTCCTTTTTTCACACACATTACTTGTATTATGGTGAGGAAAAGTGACGTCAGGAAAGGTAACATATAGATTATTTGAAATACCCATATTCCCTCATCTTACGTTATATCTATGATTGTATACAAATCACTTCTGAATCAGAAATTTGTCTTTCTTTCAAAGAATTCGATATAAAAACAGTAGCAACGATGCACTTTTTCATACTAACAATTGCATTCGAGTTAACTTCGCTACGACGACATTTACGATGAATCATCCATTGCGTTTCAACACTACACCATAGAGAGAAGGAACAGAACAGCCGAGAAGAAGAGAGAACCTATGTAAAAAGTTATATAGTTGACGATGTCTTTCGTCGCTGACTCATTTTGCTAACACAACACATAAACTGAGTGAATGACACGAAATAAAAACCGGTTTTGTTCTCATTTTTAATCCAAAACAAGTCGAGTCGATTGGAGATATGTTGCGTTGCTGATGTCTAGCGGCCAAAGGTCATAGATTTATTCATTGCATCTACCGATCGATTAGCCTTTTTCCTTCCTATACTTTTCTATATTCTAGATCACTCTCTTTGTCGTCTTCTTTTTCTTTTTCTTTCCTATTCGTTCATGGCTGCATGCATAGTTGAAGAGGCATCGGCTGCAACACCAATTCATTGTCAGACAACAAATATCATGGAACATACGCCACCATCGGCCAACTCCGACTCAAATCATCATCGCTGTTCGTTCACTTTTCATACGACAAATATGAAAAATGATTCGTCGGGAAAAATCAATCAGGAAGCAACGGCATCAATATCAAGAAAACGACGATTGAGTCAGACTGAAACTTACAGTACGAATTGCGTAAAAACACAAACAAAAATTGATAGCAGCTGTCAATCACAAGCTGTGCCAATCAATGCTAGTAAGATTCGTATCTCAATATATGTGAAACCTAACTGGTTATTTTCAAACTGTTTAGCTCCAACAACACCAACCCGACCAACGTCTTTATCATTAACTAATCTAGCCTTTAGTCAATCAACTTCACTTTTACGTACCTGTCTTAGTCATCCATCAACATCGCCAAGTATATTTCCTAGTTCGGACGATAATGCATTATCACCATTCAAATTCACATCTCTACCTGAACTTTCTTCGCCATCGGCAAAACGTCTTCGTCCACAAACGTTATGTTTCACGCCAACATGTTCATCAGTGACTACCGTTTCGCATCAGTCATCTTCAATCGGTTCGATTAGTCCAACCGATCTAGCCGATAAAATGAAAGAGAAAATACCACTGACCATTTTCGATTGTGGTTCACCATTTCGTCATAGTGAACATCGTATACGTAATTCTATTCTACTTCGTGTAGCCGATAAAATCTCTCGTAAACGTTTGAAGACAAATGGCAACCATTCTTCGGCGATCGACTCGAAACAATTACATGAAAGTCAATTTATCATTCTCTATGATGATAACAACAACACACGTCGTCAATATTCGATACCTTCCTCATCGGATGATGAACAGTTGTCAGCAGCGTTTAAATGCGCGTATGAAGAAATTAAACGTTATCTAACAACCAATTCTCCCTCAATACTCATTCTGAATTGTCCATTCAGTCAATTTCTCGACTTATACCCACTTTTATGTGAATCTCTTCAACCACGATCCTGTCCATCATCCCCAACGAACCACGTCGATGAATCATCACCACCCCAAACAGCTCCTCCGACACACACTTCATTTTTACTTCCAACAACAACAACAACTGAACAACCTGACATCGATAATCATCCGATGACACATATCATCGACGGATTATACATCGGCAGTGAAACGAATGCCAAAAACCTCGAAGAACTATCGTCCGAACGAATACGATCGATCGTGAATGTTACTTCGCACGTGCCTCTATACCATTCTGAACAATTTCAATACTGTCATTTACCTGCTGACGATACGCAAAAACAAAATCTGTTAGAATATTTCGATCAAGCCTACTCATTTATTTGTAAATCCCTTGAGAATAATGAGAAAGTTCTTGTTCACTGCGTTGCTGGTATCAGTCGCTCGCCGGCCATCGTTATCGGTTTTCTCATGCGTTATGCAAAAATGAATATGAATGATGCATATGATTTCGTGAAGAGAAAACGTTCAATCGTCTCACCTAATCTCAATTTCATGGGACAATTATTAGAATATGAAAAGAAGCTAAAACAAGACAAATAATCATTCTGCTTTTTAGTTTGTTTTCTTTCTTTTTAATGTTTATGAATATTGTGCATATATCGTTATTGCTTGTTTCCCTTTTGTTATTACAAGAAAATACAGATCAAACTAATGAAAATAAAATCCATCAGTCTAGAAATACGCGGGTGAGTTTTATGTAATTACAATTAGTCATTGGCAGAATGAGTGATGTAATCGAAGGAAAGATGATCAGTCAGTAAGCGAAGAATCTAACTTAGTCAGTTTACATTAATCATCTCGTATTACTTTGACATCATCGATTCAAGTGTTACTCCCATCGAGAAATGATCTATTCGATGTTTGAAGAAATGAAAACCAGATGAATAATCATCAAGAAATGATGCATATATCTGACAATGAGAAAACTACCTGAATCGAATATGAATCATCAATTTAAGTACATGTACTATCTCGTCAAGTCAGCGTAGTTCTATTTGATTCAACCGAATTCTTTAGCATAGAAGAGAATGTCTTTTGTGTGGATCGCATGAATTATTGATACGTAACTAAATTTAGCTATTAGATCAACGTGAAATGATTCATGGTGAAAGATATAATAAGATTATTAGAATATTAATAGAATGTTATTATTTAAAATAAGTGCTAATTTAAGGCATACAGAGAATGCGTTCTATTTTCAGTCGAGTATCTCTAACAATAAAGAGAATGGATTATATCACCGATTGTTCATAGATGACAAAGCATAACACGCGACGAGAAAAGATCGCGGGCAATCAAGTATATATCGTGATTTCATTTGCATAATCTTGATAATATTATTCAAGATGTCGCTATTCGTGTTCACACTATCAATATTCAAGTTTTCAGCGTAAGCTGCGCTGAGTCCTACTTTTCGAACCTTGCTCACATAAACAAAGGCGAGAAAGAAATAAGAAAATGTCTTTCCAGACAATGAGCTTCGCCCATTATGATATCTGTTCATTTGTTTTTCTTTCTTTAAGTCAATTGGAAAAAAACACACACACATACACGGAAAAAAATATGAGAAAACAAAATCTAACAAAACAAGTCCATTGAGATACATATACATATATAATATACACATGAAATTCGATTTATCTATTGTCATTTCGTAAAACCAATACTTGACCGGCATGTGTCACATTGACAGCAACGGAATCTGGTAAATAGAATGGTTCCCCATCCATTTGTGCTGTCATCGGACTACAGATTTCAATACGTACGTTACTACATTGTGCTATACGTATACCCCGAAAGCCCATATGGATCGTAGCCATGTGAGTTGTACTTAAGCCGACGACTTCGACTTTCTTATCACCAAAATCTTGTCGATCAAATCGACCAATCGGAGTTGTGATTGTTGTTACAGATGGTAGATTGAGTTGATCACTGGGACAATCGTTTAGTGTTACTAACTCGTAAACTTCATGTGTATTTGCTGGTAGATCAATGATTTCAATTGAACTTGTCGAAATTTCTTGAAATGAATCACAATCTTTTTGAATGATGATCGTTTGAGAGGAGGTCGACGATGTATTCGATGATTTACCCCACGGATTTGTACCTGATGCATAACATGGAATATTCAATACTAATAATGTATGACAATTACGTATGGAATCCGTTAGATCTTCTCCATCACATATCAAACGTATATAGGAACTTAAATTCCACATTTTTGAACGTGCAAAATCATTTAAATATTTACGACTTTCATTTAAATACATAAATTTATTCTTTAATGGCGAAGAGAACTTTCCTGGATCCTGTTTTCGACGTTCGTGAAATTCCAAAGCGATAGCTGCGTCCAAGCCAAAGCTCATATAATTAATAAAACGTGTATTCGGCAAAGTACGGTTATTTTGATACGACGCACGATTTCTATCACGAACAAATTTCGGATGATTAATTAACGACAGAAGTGTTCGTGATGCAGTCGAGTTATCTTCTTGACGATTCTCGACTTGTTCAATTGTGACTTGCCAACGATCTAAGGCGGTTGATAATGCTCGAGGTATTTGTGTTAAAATCGATATTAAACGTTTGGAATCATATTGCTCACCCCATAGTAAAACTCGTGAAAGATCATTACCTGTTCCCAGGGGACATATACTGACAGGTGGATTATTCAAGGATGGATAAAGTTCTGCTAAGCAACTGAGTACCCAGCCGACGGTTCCATCACCACCGAAAACGCATATACGAATGTTTGCTAATGACGAGTAGATTTCCAGAGCACGGAAAATAGTTGCATCATTTTCGAGTAGAAACACTTGACGAGGATTGAGAAGATGTAAAAGTTTTCGATAGATTTTCTCTCCGCTCTGACCACCGGAACGTTTATTAATGAACAGAAGTAATGGCGTATAATTGTCTGTAGATGTGGATGAGTCATTCGAGGTATGAAAACGATATTGAGCACGAAAATGAGATGGAGGACCAGGAATGCGACGCAACCATTGTGGTCGAACAATGATATTTCTAGAAGAAAATAATCAACTTGATTCTTTTTCTTTTCAAAGCACGTTTACTTTAATATTCCATAATCACATTTATTCTTTTCATCTTGATTAAATATCTGATCCCAGCACCGACGATGATACCCACGTAAGCACCACAAACATTGAAAACCACTCGATATGCCAGACATTTTGGGACTGGTACTGTCACCTCCAAGGGTTCTGCTTGATGAACCTTTCGTCATCGCATCTAATGAGGGCATTGTCGAAGGTCGATTGCTACCAAATATAGAACTTGACATCGATTTGCGTTTACACAGCGCACATGGTTTCGTGAGAATGGAAACATGTGACCAGTAGTGTCGATCGAACCGATTTGGATCGTTGATATCTTTTTGATTGTAGGAATTTGGATTGATCGGTTCCGAGAATGACGGACGACATGGTGGAATTAGATTGGTTGTTGATGTTGTTGCTGCTTGTAAATCGAGAAGATGATGAGTATGTACAATCAGTGAACATGATTCACATTGAAGAAATTCAACAAATTGATTTGATTTCGGCTCTTTACATGAGAAAAAGCCACAAGGTTGAGCTGAAGATATATCAGTCATTTTATACGGAAACCAACAATGTGATGTTGGAGTAGCACGATCACTCCAATCGACACCATACGAAATCGATGAATTCGTTTCGGATGATGCATTTGAAGATGATGAAGAAGACGTGGGCTGTAATATTCTAGAAAGGAGAAAATGTGTTTTCTAAGTGTCAGTTTTTTTTTAGCGTTAGTACTTTTTCACATTGGCGAGCAGTTCTTCACTGGTTTGCTGCAGATCTTGTTCAGGAATAGCATTCATATAGTCGGCTGATGATGGAAAAATGAAAGATGGTTCATCATCATCATTACTATTATTAATTCCATTTTTGAGAGTGATTAATCGAGAATACTTGTGTTCATAGGATGGAGATAACTGTTCAGTTGGTGTTGTGGGCAATGATATTGATTCAGTTCGATCTAATTTCTTGTGTTTAGTTTGGATTGTACGACGATTAGAATCGATATCTAATTGACGTAAATCACTTTCGAGGGTTCGCGGTGAATGTGTGCGATGAATATCGTGATTGTAATTTGTTAATGTTTCACAGTCACGTGGTTCGCTAATAAAGTCAAAACTTGAATGGTACGGCTTGGTCGTTGTGGGCGAGGGTAAGGTTGTGTGAAACGACGCAGGATACTCGAGTCGATGTGCTGATCGTGATATTGTTGGCGATGTTGACTCTGCCATACTTTCTAGATGAAAAAAAAAGAAGAAAGTGACTGAAAAATCGCGAAAGTATGTTTACAATATAAACATTATGAAGGCAAAAAAAGGAACGGATAGGGGAAGGAAAAAAACGCAAACGATGTTATTTCTCTAAGTAATAGTCTACTCATCAACAGTGTGAACATCTTTATAGGATGTGACAGTTATTTCTTTTTTTCTCTCTCTCTCATTTTTTTTCTGTATGCGTGTGTCGCCTTTCTCTCTTTCTTACGACATGTTGTCTACCCACGTCGATGTCGACGATCGATGAAGATAATAATGATGATATGGGAGACTGCCACATCTGTTTTTGTCAAGAAAAGGACAACAATGAAATTGTCTTCATTGTCTCACTACTATATCTACTCCTACTGTGCGTGCTATATATGTATATGAGGCATGGCATAATAAAAGAAAATAGAAATGAAATTCAAAGCATTCTGTTCTTTCCCTCTCTTCTAGTTTCATTCTTCCAAAACTTATCTATTTATGACCTTGAGTCCCTCTAATATGATTAAATCATCCTACCTGTTTGTATCAGATTTCCTTAATTAGTCGTTGTTTTTATTATTAGACATCAATTACTTTTATTAATTAAACGAATATCTTGATATGAATGGAAAAGGCATTGATAGATATTGAAGTTTGTTTTTCTTTTTTCTAATTTTTTTTTTGACAGACTAACCGAACTCACACCCGCAGTAGAAGGAAAAAGAAAAAAAGCGTTTGTTATCAGACGGAACTGGCGAGTATTTTTTTTCTTTCTCTTTTTTTTCTCTTGCAATACCATTGAGAACGGGTTAGCGCATACGTCTTCGTGTGTCTATATACAATAAAGGAAAAGAGAAAAAAAAACGCGGCGAAGGTAAACGACGTATATACATAAATCACTCGTAGCTCAAACTACGATAAAATATTCCTGCGGAAAGTCCTTTTATCGTCCCATTCTCTTTCGCATAAGTCACTCTGATATTCACAGGCAGAATCAACCTAACAAGTACGAAAACGTTGTCACCTGACGCAAACACCCACGCTGGACTTACATCCTTGTACTTTGAATATTATCATGTATTCGTCATTCTTTACATATGACACAAACAATGAAGAAAAGAACGATTTAAACACGCACGCAATCATGCATTTGAAACAATATTTTATCTCGTTACTGGAAAAAAAGTGACGGCGACAGATGCATAAAAATAGTCAGTCTTACTTAACTAGATATGTAATCATCGAAATCTCGATATAAACTCGAGAAAAATGCTCGAAATAATCACTAGTTATGCGATTATTCTCGTTGACAATGAAGTAGAAAGCAAATCGAACTAGTCGAAGCAATTTGACTAATCATCAGAAAATTACATTTCATGTTCGAATAAATAATGAGCTTCTTCAGTAATTAAAGCCTTTCTCTTTCATTATGCTCCATTCAACTACATCAAATATTCTTTAATTCATTCACGTCAATCATTTTTTTGTGATAAATGTTCTTCTTAATGTTTTCTTCATTGTTTCGATCTGCATCATAAACTTATTTGATGTTCGAAAAACATCGACAGTAGACGAATCGAACTTTTCCTATTCAATATCAAGATTTGATCAAATCGATGCATAGAAAGCATCCATGCGAATATATTATTAGAGATAAATGTACTTCTTCGAACAACTGAAGCGTATTATGATCGAATTGCATTGACATTTCTATCAACGAAGTAGGTCTACGGGAAAAAAACAAGTGCTCATTCATGTTCTTCCTCGACAAGTACACTTGAAGAGTGAAATCAAAAGGAACGAAGAAGGAAAATAGGAAAAGGAAATGAAAGTGAAAGAATCTATTTTCAGAACATTGGGTATCATGTTCAGTCAAAGCAATAGATGAATTTCGCGATAGAACAAGAAGAAGTTCAGCGTGAGTCAGTGCGATTGTCACTTCTTCGAAGTTGTACGCATAGGGAAATATCAGTTATGTATCAATGTTGGTGATAGCGAGAGATTGATTGATGAAAATCATACATTCGATGATTTATTGGGAAGAAGTTAGCAAGTAGACAATGATCTTTGTTAACGAAATATTGATACATATGTGAGAAGAAGAGAAGACCTCTTTCGACTACCAATCAGTCATTGATTGGAGAAAGCGAAGGACCAATTGTATAAAAACATGCTTGAGACGTTTATTGCTTGTTTGTTGTATATTTCTTCGTTCGACGTGTCTAATACTAAAAGTCAATTCGAATAACATTTCGAATCAGCATCTGATTAACGAGAAACATGCCACAAATTGCATCAATGAAACCTGGATACTTGGTATTAGTTAGTTTTTTCATGACCTCTGCTGTAATAACCAATGCATTCTATGCGAAAAAACAATTCTATCCATCTGTTGTCTATCTGACGAAATCAAGTACAAGTCTTGCAGTAAATAGTTGAGCGTTTGACTTCAGCTATGCAATCAATGTTTGCGTCTTTTAGGTTCTTTATCTTCAGGCATTAGTGTTTGTTGTTCTGCTCGGAAAAGTTTTACAAAGAATATTCCTTGGTCAATTACGAGCCATTGAAACTGAGGTTTGTCGCGCAAAGTGAATTTGGTATTCGTAGTTGTTCTTGTATTTCTAGCATCTGTATGATCGAACATGGTTTTCAGTAACGGAAACATGTTTAGCATTTACTGTTTTTCGTGATGATTTCAGTCCACGTTTCGTTGGTTTATTCGCGATTTTATTATTTCTAAAATGTTTTCACTGGTTACTAGAAGATCGAGTAGATTACGTAAGTTCGACATTCATTCGATCGATTCATTCGACGTGCTGTTTCGTATTTACAGATGGAACAAAGTCCTGTTCTTGGTCCGATATTTCACGCACGTGTGATCAGTAAGTTTACGACTGTGTATTTCTGCGTAAAAGTCAATCTGTGGGATTAGGTTTATCAAGTGTTTTATTTCTTCTGGATTATTTCTTCGTCATATCAGCTTATTCTCATACAATAACACGAGGAGCATCTGTACAAATTGTATTTGGTTTTGAAGTAAGATCACTTTTCGTTCTTTCTTTTGTTCACTTATTCGTGCGGATCTTCTAGTATGCAATTCTTCTTGTTGCTGTTGTTTCAACTGCTATGAAATACATTCTTCATACAATTGAGATTCGCACCGGTGAACAGTGGGAAAGTAAAGGTGTATTTATGCTTTATTCGGATCTTGTTCTTGGCTTTTTCCGTGTGTTACTCTATATGATATTTATGATTGTTATGATGAAAATTCACACATTTCCTCTCTTTGCTATTCGACCAATGTTTATTGCCATGAAGTATGTTTGTTTATTCTTGGATTTTCTTCTTCGAATCTTCGTTTTCAGAGCATTCCGTAAATCATGTAGTGATGTGATCGAATCACGACGAGCTATCCGTAATTTAAATACTATGTATCCAGATTTAACTGCAGAGGAACTTGCTAACGTAGCAGATACAACATGTATCATATGTCGTGAGGAAATGCAGGTACAACAGAGTATTAAACGTCTCGGTTGTCAACATATTTTCCATAAAAATTGTTTACGTTCGTGGTTTCAACGACAGCAAACTTGTAAGTCAAGGGTATCAAGTGTGTTTTTCTGGTAAATATCGACGACATTGTAGGTCCTATTTGTCGAACAACGGTTCTACGCCCCGCAGCTCCTCGAGCAGCCGCTGCTGGAGCAGCAGGAGGTCAACAACCACAGAATCAACAAGCACAACAACAACACGCTCAAGTTCCCAATGCTGGAGGTAGATATAAATACAAAGAAATGATTGATAATTATTCATTCTAGTTCAAGTTCCATCAGGTGCTTCATCTTCTGTACCACCTTCATCAGCTTCAGCATCGCCACCTCCATCCTCGGCAACTACTTCACCAATTCCACCCATTTTTAATTTCACGCCATTGAATCCAACAGCTGCTCAAGCATCGTCACCAACTACGTTGTTTTCGCCACCTATGTCATTTCCCATGGTATTACCACCATTTGGTATGTTTATGTAACAGGGAAAACATGAAAATAAACTCGATATTTCCTGTTAATATTAATTAGCTTTTCCACCTCCACCTTTACCACCCGTGAACTTCACAGGAATGTCAGAAGAAGCAATTCGAGCTATGGAAGGCACAGAACTAGCACACGTTCAAGCACGTATTCAATGTTTGCGCAATGTAAGAAATCTACTAGATGCATCAATGACACAAATGCAGCAATACATGAATATTGTATCTACACAAAGGTTAGTTCGACGAATGCACTTTTAATCAAAGCTAATCATTGTTTTTGTGTTCTTTAGTAATATGGAAAATAGTTCACAGATATTAAAAAATCTGAAAAATGACGTTGATGAAACTTTCACTTCACCATTGAATCCAGTTGTCGAAGAAAACGACACTGATCTCATTCGTCGACGTCGTTTAGAACACTTAGCAAACCGAGGGACAACAGCGTTCGGAGACAATCAGGATGAAAAGAATGACAATGCTTAACTAGTACAGTTTTCTTCTTAAATTAGCATACATTCGAAACAGTGCTCTCTCGGTTGTGTTTTTCTTTCTCTCTTCTTTTTTTTTGTTGTCAATTGGAGTACTCTTTGACTGTATATATATATACGAACGTATCGATGACGGCGAGCTTGGGTCTTAAATTATTTTCTTTTTTCCTATGCACTATTTGTTTTGTTATTGGTCCTAGTCAAACAAAATTGACATTTTTGTTCTGTTTTCATGCTCTGTTGTTCATTTATTATAAATATGTTTGTTGTGTATTCTTAAAGAAGAAAGGATTTATCTTAGTTTGGAAAATAAAAATCGAGTTTGCTTTCTTTGGTACGAAGATTTTTAGAAAAATTAATTACATAAAGAAACTGTGAATCATCACTGAGTCTGTCATCAGTATGTGTAAGCCATGTTTTCTTTATAAGTAATTGTTATGATCTCTTCTCCTGAATATTTTTATTTTGTATTCATTCCGTTTTGTGTGCTATGGAGTTTGACCAGTTATCTGACAAATGAATTCTTCTTATAGTGTATCAGTAGCAAAAGATTTGCAGGATGTTTATAAAAATCATTGTAGAATCGTTTCGAATCTTTCATAATCAGTGGAGATTGCTCTGAATTCAAGACATTTAAATGTGACAATTCTGTTACGGTCGTCTAAACTGAATACTAGGCGATAAAATCGTACCTGACGAGTCGTTGATGATTATAGTAAATGAAACAGTCAGACATGGCTTCATACGTACCCATACGTGTAAGAGTAGTTTTCATGTATAAAGCAAACATATGGCATTTTTTTGTTATTACGCTGAATTGATCATGAGAGAAACGCGAGTCATTGCATCGATTTCTAATACAATTTGAGTAAAGTTTAAGTATATGTGGCGGTACGAACTGGAACCAGTGTTATGCAAGTATCTTCAGTTATTCCCTCTACTGAAAGGGGTATATACACAGAATTTGAGTTAAAGTTCGTTTGTTCGTCCGTCCACGCCAGGGTTACCAACTGTTCAGGTCTCAGATGGGGTATCGGAGACGAGAAATGGGGTGCACAAGAGGTACAGCTTTCCTCCAAATAGGGTACAGACGTGAGGTACAAAATTTCTTCGGAAATATATCAGATCTATTCGAAGAAGAAGTCCACAAAAGACTTATTATAACCGGAAAATCATTTTATCTTCTCTCTCTGTAAAATATGTTGTGAGAGGTTTGTTTTCAGACAAAAAAGCCATATAAATAAAACCAGTTTCACTATGTTGCTTAATGAAAGAACTGGAATGCACAATGATTTTTCGATTTTCTTCAAACCAGTTAAAATAGCAGCATGTAAACTTCTCAAATGCAAGGAGTTTAATCAATTCAAGGTCGACTGTGACTCCCAGGACGTCGTGAGAAATGTAAACTAAGAAGACTAGTCATTGACAAACGATAATGCTTTATTTATATATAGTTCACTCATCAGATAATGGAATTCCCGTATCGTCACAACTACGACAATACTGCCAGAGAATCACGGTTTCTTTTTAAAATTTTTTGCTATAATCACCAACAATCAGTATTTTCACTGTCAAAATCGTACACCGTTCACGATCTTGTAGTGAAAATCAACGAAAGTCATCAGCTTTAGCAACATATGTATTCATAGTTTTATCATTAGTCTAATTACTCACTTGCAGTAGAGCCATCGACTCTTTTTTAACTGATGAGACAGAATAGTTTAATACGGTCAGTTTGTTTAACTAAAGTGATGTGATCGGTTAATTGTCACCACCTTGTTGAAAGAGTTTCAGAAAATTCTCGATCCTGGAAATAACTTGCGAAATCATCGCTTTAACAATTGGAGCAAAGCCCACGACAAGATTGTGAACTTTTAAGCAATTTGGACGACGTGGTTTTACATTTCTCATATGCGCGAAATTCAGGAGAGAAGTTGTAGCAAAAAGTTTGCTCTAGTTTTTAATAAAAAATGCTACACTACGTATTGTTTATAAGAGTCTATTGAAGAATATGAAAATGAGGTACAGAATGCGTACCCCAAAGGTACAGATTTTCTTGGGGTGCAAAGTAGCGAAATGGGGTGCTGTACCCCCAAATAGGGTACAGTTGGTAACCCTGGTCCACGCACTTTACACCAATGAAAAAACAATATATAATGCTGACTAAGAAAGTTTTTCCGAAGGATCGTCAGAGTCGAAGACCACGAATCCAGTGGTAGTTTTTTTTGGGGGCAAAGGGTCACTTTTTTACAAAAATATTTTTTTCTATAAGAGTTGATCGGAGGGTTTTTGGCGTCGAGGAATTCGAGTCTGAGGTCAGTTCTTTCCTATTCACCAAGCTTCGGCTTCTTCCTTTCTCTTTTCAAAAAAGAGATATTTTTCTGTATCTTCCCAGGTCGAAAAATCCGGCCCGGAACCGCTCGGTGCTAGATTTTTCCGTACATTTCATGGAAGCAGGATTCCAGACCGGGCTCAACCGGCTAAAATCTGCGCATATTCGGCGCTAACCTGACGGAAACTACCAAAACCGAACAAATCCGAAATAATCACTAAACACACCAGTCGAACGCAAATACAACATAAGACCCCATACTAACAAAAACCCACGATCCGGTGCTATCCGAATCGATATTCGTATCAGCAAAAAGATAAACTAGTACAAATCTTCCCAGGATCTGCAATTAGCTCTACGTGGCTAATATAATAAATTGCCCTACGGACCATTAAGCTACACTTCGATCGCAAAATTACGAACTACAAACAACCTGGATTCTAGGATTACACAGTGGATTGCAATCTGAATTGCAATCGGATTAGCAATCCATAAAAATAACTTATACATTTAGAACTGACTTTTTCGTTGAGGATTGTATTCTGAGTTTGAGTCCGCATCAGTGGTTCTGAAAAACTGCGAAGTCTGTTGTTGGTTTTTTTTAGGTCAGTGTTTTGCAGGAACTGTGATAGCGGAAAGAAGTTGGAAAAGATGGGATTTGTAGTTTTATGTTTGTTCACGGTTGGTTACGTTTCACCGGTTCAAATATGGGTTCCTTTCAGTTACTGGCGGTTTTTGGTTTTGGGAAACGATCGGATACTTGGAGTGGTGCGGGAAGAGTAGGGATTTTCTGGGAAATATGCGGGAAACTTTTTGGCGATCGCAGTATTTTTTGTTTCCGTAGGGTTAGATCGGGACCCGGCTGTTTTATGTGGTGTTCTGTTTAGCCGGATTAAGGTGGCATTACTGTATTTCGTGAAGATATGAGAGGAAACCGGTCAACGGAATTAATGGGAATATCAGGGATCCGGTTCCGAGGCATTCTGGCCTGGAACACTGCTTCGACATTCCTATGGTTTTCCGTCGGGAATCATCCAGATATGGTGAGAACGACTCGGAACGAGCCAGAAAAGGGCTGCTTTCCTTTCGGTTCCGGTGGCCGGATCGTTCGTCCTGGATTTGCTAGAATCTTTTAGAGAAAATAGTGGATTGAACAGTATTCCTGGGTGTGATGTGTAAGAAGGTAGTATTTTAGGATTTGACACAAAAGGTTTAGTATATCTTACACTGTGATAGTTACATCTAAAAAAATCAGAACAAGTGGTATGAGCCTAACATCATTATTGTATTGTTAGGTGCGATATATCAGATTTTCCGATAGGATTTTAGCGGAAAATATGTGGCAAAAAGATGCACCCGTCAGGTCAAGTCCATCTTGTTAGCTGCAGAAACATCGATCATGCAAATAGTATTTTCAACATATGAAGCACTAGGATTGATGTTCTTTCCAGGGTAAATCATAAAATAAAACTATTTATCGAATTTCTTCTGGTAGCGAAATGAGTGGAAGATCACCAATTTGGAAGCAACAATAAAAAGAAACGTAGTTATTCACTTTCAAAGTTATTCAAGAGCGAAAGGCATAACGGAGACAGTTATAGAAACGGCTAGCCGTCAGTGGCCGACCGGACAGAGGCTAACGAATGACTAGACATTAGTCTGATAAGAGTTTAGGAAGCAAAATAAGTATGAGTAAAAGATTGAGAAAATTATCAAATGATTGGATCATTTAAATAGCGTAATTCTTATTTCTTTCAGTAGAGGATTAGCGGCTATGGCGATGCGTTACTTGTGATCAGTAGACTAGAAATGTGTATTTATAATCGTCAATTAAAAATGCATTCGTAGACAAATAACTTGTGCATTTTATCTCTTATAAGAAATTTTGATAAATCTGTATACTTCGCATTTTTTATACTTTCATTCAATTAAAAATATTAGAATAATTCGAGTAGAAAAGTCGTATCTGTATTTTGTTGAATAAATTTTTAAAAGTGGAGAAAAAGCTATGTAAACGTGCGTTAATAATTTTTTGTAAAATTACATCTCTTTTTTTTTATGTAAAAAACATCTCCTGATAAAAAATGAACATTTCAACATATGAAAAGGCAATGACGAGGATAGATTATAGTGTGATCGCTCCTTTATCAATGGCATTTTCGGTAACTGCTATTTTAATTGCTTTTTATGTGTTGATTCTTATCATATTTAAAAAAGAATTGCATACAGTGAATCGTTTATTAACATGTAATACATGTTTAGCATCTATTTTATATTGTCTTGTACAATTTATTGATTACATTTATCTTTTAATAATAACATGGGATACAGATGATCAATCATGTCGATGGCGGGCTTATTTTTCTTATATGTCTTTGATTTCAATTATTTATTCTTATGTTCTTCAAATAATATCAAGATTTTTCTTTATTAATTTATATGAAAAATATCGTTGGTTAATTTCATTTAAATCACATATTTATTTAATTTTATTTGGATGGATTATTATATTAGCGTTACCATTACCATCAATTATAACAAATGATATTTATTTTCGTCCAAATGAACTTTGTTGGGTTTTATCAGATCATATATTACATTCATATTATATAAATATTGCATATTATATAATACCAATTTTATTAATTATTATTTTTAGTATTCTTATAATGAAGCGAATATATAGCTATAGAAAAACAACAACAATACAACGTGCTAAGAAAAGAAGAGATCGTGATTCAGAAATCTTTCGTAATATAATTATATCATTTGGTATTTATTTTCTCGGTGGTATTCCATATATGATTGATCAATTTATAGATAGTCCATTTACTTATTCATTTGGTGTTGTTACTGTTACACTTGCTGTTAATTTGGAAAAACTATTTATTATTTACCTTGACCGAGATATTCGAAATATTATTAAAAATTATTTTTATCAAACACAAACTCGAGTTATACCAATAACGCTTAATCCTACTTTTACTGCTCGTTAATTATATTTCAAAGTTTTTTTTGTCGAAACTATCATAAACGGTAACATTAATTATTTGAAAATTGATTCGAAAATATGTACATTGAGGTGTTTTCATATATACATCTGTTGTCGTCTATCGTGTCTTATTCTTCAATAAATGAAATTTACCGTTCTTAGTCAACTTAGATGATGAAAATAGATGATAACAATGTCATGTATATCCATTCATTTTTCAAAGAAAAGAAAATGATTTTATATTTATTTAGATCAACTAATTTGTTAGACTTTATGAGATCTAACAAGAAGCAAATTCGAACTGCTTATCGTTAATAGAAATTCATGTGCCGTCAGATAGTACTATTTAAAATTAGTGTTGAATGAGTTTCAATTAGTAATATTCTTGAGTATATTTCGAATCAAGATTGGTGCACTTCCGCTTATTTCTCTGAACTGCAAAAACGACAGAATGTTAAACCTTCGGACCGACTATTCTAATGGTTCAATACGATGAGCGCATCGCATAGGGGTTGCGAGGAAACAGCAGATCTTCAGTAAGTACTTGGAGCGAAAGAACCAAATATGTGAATTGGAAGCATAAAATTGCGACTAGTTGTTGGCTGATGCACAGCAGTTAGCAATGTCTAGTCGTAGACCTTAAAAATCTTCACATAAAGTTCGAAAAAGAGCAGTACTTTTGAGAATTTGTTTCACATTTTCCACTTTCATTAGATAGAGAATACTTCGGAAATTTAGGATCGCAATTCAGTCGTTAAACTTTAATGCCAAGAAAAACTAGTGAATTCGATGAACGACCGTGATAAAAATGGAAAATCGTTTTAAATTGAAGAAAAGTACAACCGGACAGACATTTAATAACGTCCTTAGCAATAATCTCGTCAAGAATAGGCACGAATATGACAGTTTATAGAAACTTAGCGTAAATACTGTGTGTGAACAGTACAAAAGATAATGAAGATGAATATACATAACTTGTCATGAAAAGGGAAGCGGAAAGAAGTTTCTTGTGCGCTGTAGATCAAAAGATCACTATAATGAAACTTGATAACTGACATAAGATTAAAAGACACATTTTCGATATTGCACAATCTATGGTGTTAAAAATAAGGTGAAGACACACATACCGCTTACTGTATAGTTAATTGATTAACAATATTGCGTTTCAATGACGAATAACTAGATGAAACGATGCAAAGCGAAGAAAGTCATCCACAACATATTTAGATTGATATCCCTAGTGACGCTGAATAATCATTTCTAAGAGAAAAGGATGAAACCAAATAAATTGATCTGCTATAAATTGTGTAGAAAACAACGCGATGCATTATAGTTTTTAACTTCAATACTTGACTCTAAGGAGAAAACGAAGAACATTCCACTATCGCCCGTCAAAGAGCGTACTTTTACTCTAAAACTAAGGAACGAGAAGTTCTTCGCCTGATAAACCTGTCAAGATTTGGTCACTTTGAGATGTTCTAAATAGCAACGATATATCGTTATCCGGATTCTTTTCCAGTGTACCCCAGTCATTTCAACGATTTATTTCTATTGATGCGACCGTGACGAAGTATAAGATAGCTTGAAATGTGCACAAACCTCCAAAACTGTTTAGGACATCACAGGAAAATGTCAACGAGCACATAGTTGAAAAGCAAATTTTATTTCCTATACACAAAAAACATACATACACACACATGTATACGCAATTAAACGAACATCTACAAACACGTCTTAAAAAGGAAACATTTTACTATGTTTTCCAGCTTTTCCTTTCACCCTCGGTTGCCAGTTGATTAATTGTGGATTGATGATCAGGAATTTCTTCGCATGTAATTCCTGAAGGCGAGCATCGATACCTTTTCTTGAAGCACAAACAAAATGGCCTTGCCGCCAATATTTGATAAAACCATAGGAACTCAACGTTTCCAGACAATTTTCTGTGCTGATACTTGTTATGGCACTACAAGAAATGATATTCAGAACATGTATGGAAGTTTCTTTCGCTTAGTACCTCAATTCATCAATTTCGATTTCTGGTTTCTCTTTTAGCACGTTCAGTAGTGCCCAAGTCCAGTAACTCAGATATGCTTTATGTCCCAAATCGCTGACTGGTTTTTCTGGACCACCCACGACGTTTTCGATTTTAGATAATTCATAACCTAGGAAACTGAATGTGAAAGACATACCCAGCATTTTGTGGTACTTACTGAATTGAATTAACAATTTTCCGTATCCTTTCCTTTGATAAGGTGGTAAACATAGAAGACAAGACAAATTATATCCGAATGCTGAGTCCTTTTCCTATTACAACACAAAGATTGGCGTTAAATCAATAATCTTTCTAAAAAGTGTTGCTGCTTACTTTGGAAAAGTATCCGATAAAACGTTCCTTCTGCGTGGTATCATCGTACTCCATCAGAACATAGAACAAGAACTCTGACACATTAAAACAAATGACTTTCGATTCGAGAAATAGACGGGCTAATAAACATAAGTTTTGACAAAATAATTTATGCTGAGCACCATCAACTTCATAAATAGCACAGCCAATTTTAGGATCTCGATATATTTCTGTGCCCGGCGGTCTGCGCAAGAGACATTCTGCCTGTAAAGAAGACAAAGCAATACAAAGTAAATGATAGTGAATGTACATGAATATTACTAGATGCCGAGAATAGGTGCTCTTCAGACGCATGTATTTCATACAATGTTCACAAATATAGAGCAATCGTTGCTTTTCATATTCGTCAGGAAATGGTGAATGATACCAACAATCGATTTCATACCGGCCAAGCCAGATTTTTTCGATATATTTCACCTAAAATCAACGAAATCATATCCGTATGATGACAAAAAAACCACTGGTTTTTCTTTTACATTTGGTTTGTAATCTCTTCGTGCATTTTGATCCACCGTTTCAAACGATGAATCATGTGAAAAATCGGTCGGATCCTATTAACAAAGTAGATTTCGAACTTCAAGTCGGGCAAATACAAAAACCTACGTCATTCAAACGACGTTTTAGTCGTGCACGTTTTCTTCCAGTTAAACTATTGGTCGAATCATTCAATTGTTCACTTGTCATTTCTGTTTGTTCATTACTAGTAGCGCTTGACAATCGACTTTCTGGTATCCATTGATCATTTCGATGGTCAACTAGAGTGTACAGAGACATGCAATGTCGAAGGAAAGATGACATAAGTGTTGACTCACAGTTCAGATAATGTACAAAGTATTCTTGTTGATCAGATCCATCAACAGTGCGAGTTTCGAGAATTTCAGCAGTATCTAAAAGTATAAGTTTTCGACGAATGTTGAATGGTAATAAGAAACTTACGAATAACACCATTATTCATTCGAACATAAAAGGTATCACCAGGTTTGGGAGAATTTGGAATATTAGTGTCGAGTTCCATGACTAAAACTTATACTAGAAATCTAGAACAAATGAATAGTAAATGCATTTGATGTGTAAATTAGTCATTCGTTTTGATTGCGAAACATAAACTATCGCCATAGATACAATTTGCCATGATTACGTTTAACTGAATAATTCTCAATTAATTTCTTCTTTACGATAATCGATTGCACTCTTTCAACTACATCGTAATTGACATGAGAAAGAACTAATAAAAATAATTGTTTAGCATTTAATAATAAAAACTCGAGAATTATTTCAAGATGACTTTCATCGATGCATATTTTGAGATGTTCCATGCGGGGAAACATATGAGTAATAAGCTTCAAATGTTTCATGTCACACTCTTCATATACTTTGACTCGTGTAATTCGATTATTTACTGGTACTAAACTAAACACGCTGGATTGTTTAACAGATATTCTGGGTAAACTGAATAACTTTAACAATTCTACATTAGGAAAATCTTGTAGTAATGATATGAGTTTCTTGATGGACAGATTTTCATCTTTAATATATAGTTTGCTGATTTGTAACAGAGGAATGATAGATTTCATCGAACGAGCGTGCCAAGAAGTATCTTTGACATCATGAAGAGTAAGTTCTTTAACACAAGGAAACTGAATAGTAAACTTCTCTGCTTCCAAACACCCTTCGATTTCAACATGACGAGCGTAATTAATGCCATGGTGAGTTTTAAAATTTTCATGCAACTTGAATTGCTCATATCTGAAGAACGCAATCTGTAAGAAAAAATAAATCAGTATTTCTTGTTTAAACTCACCGGTATGGTACAATCGAAAAGAAATAGAAGCAACATTCATCGTCAATTTGAGAATGATAATAATAATTGAAGAACCAATTTCGATCTATCCAAAATTTCGAAGAAAATTCCTGTATTAACTTTTGTTGTGTATCAATGTTAGCTGAATTTGAATATTGGAAATCAAAAGTATCTAAACATGGCATATACTGTTCAATCAACTCTTCCCATCTTTCCGCACGAAGATAATTCTCATCTCCTGTCTTGCATATTCTTAATATTTTCAACCGAGAACTAACATTTACCAGAAATGATTTCAAATCGTGAAATTCCAGAGCATGTAATTTGAAACGAATGATTTTCAAATTTATCGATGTTTTCATCTCGTCATAATGCGCGCCGTACAGTTGATTGCATGATAAGTGTTCCAGTCGAGGTAGATAAGAAAGAATTGCAACGAGTTGATCGAGACGACAATGGCCATCGATTACCAGATGTTTTAATATTTGACATGAATCAACAGCAAGTGCCAGTGGCACACGATCTCCACCATGAGGATATTTAAATTGGAAATATTTCAATTTTGTTAATTGAAAAAGAGAAAGATAGATAACATTGAGATCTTGGAAATAATCTGACGATTCGATTGAAAGACTAGAGAAATTTGGCAAGGATTTTAATTGTTGTAGAAGTGTAATGATTCGGTCTGGTGGAATGTGTTGAGTAATTAAAGTTTTGAGAGAAGAAAACTGATTGATTGTAAAAAACTCAAGAAATTCTTTGGTTATTTTCAGCCAACTGATTCGTGCCATGTTTGGTTGAATAATCTCTTTACATTGTCGTTCATAGATAGATTTTGACTTTAATGGAAAGTTTATATTTAATAGAAATGATCGCTGAGTAAGAAGAGATCGAAAGCGTGAGTTTAAATTAACAAAGATATCGTACATAAGGCAAAAATCACCATAATCGAAAATTTCATGGAGTAATTCATTTGATAAATCTTCAAATTGACTTCTTGACGGCCTATTTCAACGAAAAAATGTTCATAGTAAAAATAGATCAACAAACACTTACCTTTTCGTATTGTCTTCCTGCGTCTCCTGTCGTCGTTTCATAATCTAAAAACAACTTTGAAGTACAACAGTGCTTTTCTGTTTATTTGCAAAAAAAAATCTGTGATTTCTTTTTATTTGAATTTATAAACACATAAGACAAGTCTTTCGATATTTTTTCTCGTCAACTCTCTCTCGCTGTATATCAAAACAAAATACACAAGAAAGAGATGTATGAATATGTATAAGTATATGTATATCTGACAATGGCTTCACTGTTTCATTCAGCTAATATCTGACATAACAAGATATTTGAAATGGTTCATGTTAAAACTTTTCTTCATAATTATCAAATGGTTGTAAAGCAAATTGCACAATCGATTCCAGTATCCATTCAGGACTGAGAAAGTGAACACCATTGGAGCGTGATGTTTCGAATAGTTGCTGTTGATTAGAAGAATGAAATGGAAGTAGTTTATCACAGAGCACAATCGTTAATATCGACGAATCATTAGATGTTGTTATTGGAAGAGTATTTAAAAGTGTACCGCCACACAATGTTATCAAAGAAGCAAGCTCAGTTTTATCCTAAGAAAATCAAGTCGAAGAATTTCATTCAAATTAATGTTCTTTACCATTTTCTCTTGACAACCGTTACAAAGGATAAAGATATGACAATTTTCGAATAGATTTGCATGCTTGGATAAGCGACTATGACGCATGCCATCGTGATATTCTCCGAATGGAATATCACCTCGTATTTCAAACGCAAGTTCGTCAATGAGTTGACTTTGTTTAAAACATTCGGAAATCCAACGATATGTCAGAACGAATAAATGACGGGCAATCGCTTGAAATACTTTGATTGTCAATGGACATAATAATTGCTTTTCTTCATTGCCAACAATTAAGTGTGTTGTACGATCGTCAACACAATTCGATAAGACAATCTGATTTGGAAATAATGACGCAAAACGATAAACTTCAGTCTAGAAATGAATCTTTCATTGGAAAACAGAAGTATTCTTTCAAATTTCTACATACAGTTTGTTCAATATTCAGACATGAATATGCCAAAACGATCCGTTTTTCTCCCGGTGGACAAACCATAACAATATTTGAAGTGAACGTATCATCATGATTACCGTCACTTGTATATTCGTTATCAAACGATGTTGATAATTCTATTCAAGAAGAATTTAACTTTTACATTATGAGAATTTGTACATTCCTACCATTGAACGATAAATTTTGTGCTGAAAATGGTGGTGACAATGTATCATCAAGATGGAACGAATCATCTTGCTGATACTGTTGTTTTTTCTTCTTCTTTTTTGCGTATAAGTTTAACGGCAATTTATTTTCTTTTCTCATTTTCACACGGGCATTGGTAAACCAAACTGTGATTTGCGACAGAGACATTTTCGTCTTTTCCATCAATTCTTGTTTATCCGTCTCATTTGGATCTACAAAAAACAAATAAGACAAAAATAAACGCGTGTCTATATCAAGCGGACAAACATACATGGATGTTGTTGATGTTCGAAAAGCCATTGTTTCAAAGGACCTGTTGAATTCTTTTCTCGACCTGTAGTGTTGAACAATGTTGATAATTTATCATCTAAAAAAACTTGAACTTGTTAATGCAAGATGCGAATGTTGAATTCTTACCATTTGGATACTGAACAGGTACGTCCGTTTTATTAATTTTGCAATTGGATTTCTTATTTTCACCAAATGTAATCGGTGTTGTGTCATCGAACAACATTTCATCTTCTCCAGTGCTTATGTAAGATTGTTGATTGAGCATGTTGATTAGTAAAGACAAGGCAAGTAGTTTCTAATGAGCGTTGATGTATTCTGTGCGAACAAGAGATTAATCGAACGAATAGAACAGAGTTCAAACAGAGGTCAGTAATTTTTTGTATGGTTGGAAAGGGAACCAATAAGAAGAAAGACGCAAGTGAATGAATGAATCAAGCGAAGTCTTTCTGCTTTTTTGACTTCTACTATCATTTTATTTTATGATTAAAATGGGACCGATTGAAACCAATGCGATAGTTTCTCATCAACAGCAGCAACAACAGCAACAACCTCAGAAATCTCGACGACGATCACATTCAAGTGAACGAAACTCTCGTGATAACAATCGACAGAAATCTCGAAGGAATACACGTTCGAGAAGTGGAGATCGCGAGTCATCATCTTCGAGCAGTGGTTTGTATTGATTACAGGATAATTTCGACTTCATAACAATATGCTTCTTCTAGATCGTGATCATGACGATGGGAACAGAAGTATGGACGATGACGACAATGAAGACGATGATGATAGTGTCAGTGATAGGAGTTCACGTGGAAGCCCATCGACAAGACAACCGAGTAGCATTCGATGGGATTACCGAGTAAATTGAAAAGATTTTTCGTTGCTCAAAGGAATTTCTGAGTTGATCATTGTTTGTAGATAAATCATGTAGGAAGAAGAATCAAAGAAACCAAAGCATTCTGTTGTCTTAGTTGTCGTTATCCAGTGTTACTTGTTGGAAGATTGGTAAGACATTACTGACTGCACGAAAATCATCATAATATCCTGATTCTCAAATGTAGGTTCCATGTAAACATGCGGCTTTCTGTCTACAGTGTGCCAATGAATGTAAAAATAACAGTCGAAATTGTCCAAAGTAAATTGTTTCCACAGCAGTTTGTACTAATTAACTTGATGTTTTCTTTGAAAAGATGCAACGAAGTGATTAGTGATATCGAGAAGATCGAAGCGAAAAACCTTATTCTTTGTCATCATGGGTCACATCCACATTCACAAGATGCTTGTTTACGTGGATACACATCACAGCGTGATCTTCAAGAACATGTTAAACGACGTCATGAACAACCACCACCCCCGTCTCAGTCGGTACAAGCTCGTCTCGATCCACCGCTTCAACTACTTCCTCCTCCTACACATCCCCCTTCAGCTGTATTTCCTGGTCTTGGCGTTGATTCACAGCAACAACCACCTCCACATCCGCCACCACTGATGACATTCCCACCAATGAATGTTCCAGGAATGCCGCCACCACCTCTCTATGATATGCGGTTCCGTCCGCCAGCTTATGGTCATCCTCCACCACAACAACAATTTGTTCCTCCTCAACAGCAATATCGTCCGCACTCCTATCCTCCGAATCGACCTATGTACTAGTCGATTCTCTTGTGTATGTACATAAAATTCAAAGAAAATCTCGATGTTTCGTTGTCTCTAATAAACTAGTATTTGACTTGAAGTATTACAACTCTGAGTGTTGAAGAGCATTGAACCGAAGATATTTATTTTTACAAACGTATCGAAACTAGTGAAAATATTGTCGAATAACTATGAAACAAATCTTTAAATGTCCGTGTTTTCGATTGTTCATCCGCCAGATAATCATAACCGAATTCACCATTACCAAAGATTCCAATCAATGGTGTATTTGGAAATAAAGTTCGAAATTCCGAACATTCAACATTAGATTCTTGATTATAGAAATCTAAGCCGCGTGCTACACAACTGACTTGTATTGCAAATGATAAAGAACATTGTTGATATTCGTTTGATTTTAATTCTTTCAATTTTTCTCGTATGGCATCTCGTGTTTGAATCTGATTTTTTAAGACAATTTGTCGAACATGTAAATGATTTCGATCACCAGTAAGAACAATTCCACAAGGATTATTTGAGGAATGTTTCCTCGTATCTTTTCGATTATCATAACGACTTCGGTTGACATATCCGCCGATAATAGCTATATCCGACGAATAAAATTCCAGTAATTTTTTCATGCAATTCACTGTTTGAGATTGGGGCGACGACGAGAAGAATATGACAAGACGAATCGGTACGTCGTCTGGAACACCTCCAAGACATTGATGTAAATCTGCACGAGACATAGTAGATGATATTGAAGTTTTGTGTGGGATTTCAAACGGATAGATTCCTAAGGTATTCGACGGAAATCTAGGAAGTAGAAGAATACCCATGGCGTCATCTGAAAGTTATTATAAACTTTTGTACTGTTAGAATGTCTCGATCGATTTACCTTGTTCAATTTCATTGGTTTGATTGTCTTCGTTCGATGCAACAATCGCATCTGAAACAATCATTAGGACTTGACATGATTTGTTCAAATGACGCAAGCACGACTGCAGAATATCACAGCGCCCTGTTCTATTCGATGCCGATTGTGAACGAAAACGTTTTGGATATTTAGCTGAAGATGATGCATCTCCTGTTGCGGATGTTAATGATTGGAAACCCTTTTTTTCTAAATTGTTTGTCACAACTATGAATGCTAAATATGGAATTGACCAGAGATTGTTTTGTATGACTGACGAGAGAAATCGATCAAAATCCGACCGAAGATATGGAAATTCTATCGTTGACGATAAGGGATTCGGTGGATAAGTTAAAGCATGTACAGTATGCCGTTGTGTTTTAACCAAACGAGCAAGCTGGGCCCAGGCTTGACAAACCAAAGAACAGGAGTCAATAGAATGGATTGGTAAATGTCGAAAAATTGCACGATTGACATCATAGACTGTGGTCAATACATCGCTTGACGATAGCGACTCTTCTATCTTCTTCTGAGTTTCTTCAGTCATTTTGACCGAAGACAACAGATCTGAAAAAAGAAAAAGATAACTGGAATGGAACAGTGAGAGAAAGAGTTTCCTGTAGATGAATCATATAGTTCAATGATTTGAATAGACACGTAACCAATCGTTGTCGAATGTCACTAGCAGACAGACAGAACATCGTTTCAAGAATGATCAAATTCAGTATCTGTATTTGATATCCAATACGTAAAGAGAGCAAAAAAGCATTCGAAGTTTTTTTTTGAAACTGAAACACACGTAGAGACACACACACACACATCCACACAGAATTTATTTTTATATCGAGAAAGAAAAAGAAAGAAAATAGTCATAAGTTGATGATGGTGTTGTTCGGTGTGATTTTACAATTGATGATAAATATGTCCATGCGAAGGTTGATTAGCAGTAAATGAATTGTATCCTAGTGAAGGATGTTGACGATGACCATATACAAAATCATGATGATATGACGACGAAGTTATTGGAAAATGACTGGTATTTTCCATAAATGCTTGATTCGGTGAGGAATATGATTGTGATTGATGATAAATCGGTGGTGATTGTTGTTGCTGACTATATTTCATTGTTGACGGATATCCATTTCGATAGTAGGATAAAGGCATTGGCTGCTGCTGCTGCTGCTGTGGTGGTAGTTGTGCTTGTTGATAATACATATTTTGTTTTCTGGACACATTATAATGATGATGATTGTTATTTGAGTTAGTCAATGGATATCCAGGATGTGCTGTATTAACATTAACTTGAAAATTAGCCACAACAGGTACGTTTACTGTCATATGTTGAGATGGTGTTTGCTGCTGTTGCTGAGAAGACGAATAGTAATGCGAATTGTAGGATGCAGATGCTGACGATGATGTTGGATAATATTGTCCATCATAATCACAACATGAACAATTGATTGCATCGCAACTCGAGACTGTGGTCATTGTTGGCGGTGGTGTTATCATCGTTGATGATTGCTGCGGTTGGTTTGTCCAATCATCCGCACGAACGGGAGAAGTTTGTTCGATTTTAGTGACTTTCGGTGATGTTGAACATGCTTGAATCTGTTGGTCAGATAGTGAATCAAGTTTTTCAATTGGATTTATCTATTCATGAACAAGAAAAAAGGACAAATATCTCAAATTCAAGTGTGATGAAGGCCTTTCGTACTTTTTCAAGCATCTTTGACGAATCTCCTTCTTGTTGTTCAAATAGCCATTGATCACTTTTCATAGAACTACACGAATGTGAAGTGCATTTATTTTCCTTGATTTTAGCTTTACGCTTTGGTCGAGTTAAACGTTCTACATTTTTCGGACTTGAAGCATCGACTTCATCAGCACTTGTGTCATCTTCATTCATTTCGTTAGCTTCGAATTCTTCCGCTAACTTGGGATCTTGCAACATTAATTGTCTTTTGTATTTCATCCGACTAACCAATAGAAATCAAGAAAGAGAATAGCAAAGACAGAAAGAGAGAAAAAATAATAATAACTTACCGATTTTGAAACCAAACCTAGTATTGGAAGAAGAGAAAAACGATACAATTTCTTCAAGAAATTTCATTTCTTTTACCTTGACTTGTCGTTCAGTGAGTAACAATGTTGATGCAATTTCTACTCGTCGTGGTCGACATAGATATTTGGAGTAGTGAAACTCTTTTTCTAATTCTAACAATTGCTTGTTTGTATAAGCTGTTCGAATACGTTTAGGTGCATGTGGATTATCTAAATATATATATATATGAAAAGTATATTTCTCAATATCGATTGACACATTCGAACAGCCGGACAGTATCAATCAATCGCCATGAAGATGTCTATATATGTAGTTTATGGTCAAAAGTAAACACAACTGTTTGTCTCGTATGCATCTATGTATATTCAAACTCGTACTGTACTTCGAAGCTTTTGTTTGAAGGGTGTCGACAGGCGGAAGAGAATATGTGTGTGTGTGTGTGTGTATATGTATATCTATCGTACAATAAATGACAAGATATTGCAATAGTTTGATTGAAGCATTCAAAAAAGGTCAGAAAAGAAGTGTGAGATGAGTTTAACAACTGGATAACTGGCTAATTGTTTTCTTTAGTAGATTACTGGAAGATTCATCAAGAAAAAAAAAGAGAATCGAAATCTCTTTGTTTCATCGTTCTCTTCATCTTTTAATCAGTTAATGTAGTACTTAGCCGGATGTTTATCTCTCTTGATTGAAAATCTTTTTCCGTATCAATGAACATTGAGGAAAATCAATTAGTTAATCGGAAGCAAAAGATCTCTACCTGATCGTTTATTTTTTCTTGGCTTGCTTTTCGTTGTCGTCGTAACTTTAGGTTTTTGTTGTTCAGAATATATGTAGGTTTGTTGTTGAAACTCGTCTTCACTTGGCCGAGTAAAATAATCATCGAGATGATCGTCATATTTCGATGTACTAACGATTGCTTGAGCAGTTGCCATATCTCGTAGTTTTTTTTTTATATTCTAAAATAATCTCTACACTCTACTCGATCACACGACTGATATTTTGTTGAAAGATGACGGAAACGTTTCTTTTTCTCTTTTTTGTCTATCTATCTGTCTCTCTACTTTCTCGTTTGATCTTTCAATAGATTCAACATGGGATGCCTGTCATCACTCGCTTGCCGCCTTCGTATAAGGAAATATAGAGATAGAGAGAACGAAGAGAGAAAAACGAAGAAGAATTTCTTATCCGCATTGCTGAATGGTTGAGAAGAGAACATTGCTCGTTTCTGATTCGCCCGAATAATGCCTTCCTAGTTTTATATCATTAAACAATAAGACAACAGTAGCAATACGGAAAAAAAGAAAGAAAGAAAGAAAAGAAGAATAACAGAAGTATCATTGATTGTTCTACTTTACACTTGACTGGTGATTTCAATCTTTTCCCTCTTCTTCTCTTTCGTAGCGATCGTCTTATACAATGTCGTTCGCTGTACTCAATCAATTTGACTCTTCAAGTCATTAGGCATCTCAAGGGAAAAAATGAGTGTATACGCGTGCTAATGTAATCAGAGAAAAATTCATACCGACATATATGTACGTTTATTGATTTCAAGTTGACGGGTTTACGACATCCATTGATCGGAGATGTACAAACGCAACGTTTGAAGTCATTCCCCATCCGACAATATCTTCTTCTTCTTCTGCTTCCTTTTATTCATCATAAGTAAAGCAAGTAGAAAAGTGACAAGTAGCAGAGATACTTATTGATCGAAGAGATTTAATGATCGTAATATCATAAAATTGAAATAAATAAGTGCGAACTTCTTGTCACGCTATTTATTTTATCCAAAGTGAGAAATCTTTGTTTTTATCATCAAAAAAACAATCATACAATGAGTAACGAATACGAATCTGATATATACTCTCGATAACTTAAGCCACAAATATTTCCTATGCCGCAGCTATTGTTGAAAAATCATTCGGTATTTTCTCAAAAGTCAAGTTTTGGTATATTAGAGAATATTTGAGTTTGGCATTTTGCATTCGACAAATTCATTTTTTAAAAGCTGAGAATTTTCAATAAAGGTTGGTTATACGTATATCAATGATTTACTTTGATCTAGGTCGTTCGTCTGGAAAGAAAAACTTATTAATTTTATGTCGTAGTAATGACAGCTTGAAGAACTAGACATGATAACAAAAACAGATGAAAAAATACTTAGGACAAAAGAAAAGTTCGCGCGATATTTTTATCTTTCGATAGTATTATTTCTATTTATTATACTTCCATGATCGACAACATTTATTATCAGAACATATTTGAATCATTAGTCGTTACAACAAGCAATTCTCTAGGAACAGATGAGTTCAGCAGTATGAAACTTTTTCTACTTCATTGAACTTCAGTGAAGCGAGTTATCGCATAGATTTTTAGCGATTGTCAGCTAGTGCATTTAGTTGATGTTGTAAAAGATTCAATAGTATGGTTTTAAATCAAAGATATTCGTTTGGAATGTTTGTATTATATGTTTATATATGTTTGGTTGGATGAAAAGATTCGCGAAAGAAAAGGAGGAAAACATAGACAATATATGTATATTGCTGGCATTCATCAATCAAAAGGAGAAAGAAAAAAGGCGTGAAAATAACATGACGAATGAGAAGATTGACGTGAACAAGAAATACACAGAGAATCTATGAAGGCTAGATATGTAAGAAATGTCATTTGATTTACGTATATTACAAAGATTTATTTCACGGCATAGTTCTTCAAAGATGAGTAATAATTCATAAAAAATGTAATTCTACTCAATACGTATAAAAAGTATTCCTTACACATTGTGACTGCAGAGATATTATAAAACTCTATGATAATAGAGTTATACTGTTTTAATTTCATTTGTTTCTAAAATCAACCATCTTAGTGAGCTCATATAATTGATGAAAATTCGTAGTGATTTTAAATTTTGAGGCTGATAAACAAGCAAATTTGTACAATAAATTTTCGATTGAAAGGCTTACATTTTATGAACTGGTAGTTTCAGATAATGTATTTGACATCAATTGTTTTAGTGTAAAGTATTCAGACATCAGTATTTATCATATAATAATGCTTCGTCGAAAGATGTCGTATTAAATTAGTTAATATTCAAGAGACAACTATTAAGGAAAGTTCTACCAGGTCAAGAAGACACAGGGATTTCCGAGAGATCGACGATTTATTATTACAACTAATTCTTTATCGTACCAAAAAGCGACTATCTATTTGTATATTTTTAAAATAGAAAAGCATCGTGATCGACTATGATAAAATTATTTAAATACAATTTCTATTGTTTATATTACTACTTAGTGGCCGATTTTATTTCAAGTATTGTAATGAATTTGACAAAAAACAACCATTCAAGGATATATAATCACCCATGTTTTCTAACTACAACGAAAATGAATTATTATTACGCCGTAAGTGCCACGTGTTTCTTGAAATAAAGATAACTATATAGGTTGAAAGTTGTGACAGATCCATACGGTCACTGTTGT